TTGTAATCATAGTTATATGTTAATTTTTTTTTTCACTTTAGTTAGTTCACTTTTAATCTTTTTTTCTCATTTTCTCCAACATATACAAATCAGAAATAAACATATAAATCTATACATTATTGTTCCAACATGTCTGCTTTCCATATGAATTTGAATTTAACATTACATAGACTTAATATAACATGAGATTTTCATTTGGGGGGGGGGGGGGGGGGGGAGGGAGAAGAGACACATAAAGAGACAAGAAGATGCAGCAGTATTTCCCGAAACAAATATAGTGATCTAGACCTTTCATGAAAGCAAATATCATGAAAACACTTTAACAGTCAAGAAAAAATCTTGATACATAATTCTGTAAAATGTCAAACAAATAAAATAGCTTTAAAAAATTATGAAAAAAATTTTCATTTGATTATTGTGATATACAAGTCCAGTCCAAAGACTATTTCTACCTACGTAGCTATTAATAGCTACCTAGGTATTTAAACCTACCCAAAGTAGCTATTTTTACTAGGAGTGGGACGATCCACCGGTGCACCGATGCATCACAGTATTCACTTTGACGATCTACAGATCGATTCATCTAATTTAGTATCACGATACCTGACCGCACTTTTTTTTAATTTCCAAAAATGTCCGGGCTTTAGAATTCCAAATTTTTTGTCCTTTAGTCTGTATCATCAAGACGTTTAAACAAACACAAATAAAGTACAAACGTCTTGCTGATACAGAATTCAAGATATAAGCGTCAAAATGGCGTCAGACACGCCGGATTATATAAAATTAACGAAACCCAATGGCAGTAAGTCGGGTGTCTGGGACACATTTGGGCTACCTATTTGTTGAATTAGTTTATTTTCATACACTGTTATGTTCCAAATTAAATGTTCTAAAAAAATTTCTAGTTTTATTTGGTTTTAAATGTATCGTGATATGTATCGTATTGCACCTAAGGCATCGTGATATGTATCGGATCGGCTAAGTTCAGTATCGTCCCAGCCCTAATTTTTACCTACTTTTTGCATTACTTGCATTTTGTGGCCAAACGGCTGAACAGCGCTATATGGTGAGGCCAAAAAATAATAGTATTGTTTCCTGTTACCCGACCGACCCTATTTTTATGCGCACGATCCTAAAGTTTTTTTTTGAAGTTTTGGAAGAAAAAATTGGGAATTTCCGGAATTTCATCGTTCTGTCACTGTAATCCGTTTCCGTGTTAACACAAAACAGGCCTTTCATGAAATCCTCTGTTTTAAGTAAGGACTTTCATAAAATACCACTTGAGTTGTGCATCAAAAGACATGAAATTTAATTTTAAAAGACAATATTGACCTGTAACATGTTTAAGTTGATCTTGTATTAGTTCATATCCAAAAAATTATGTCGGAAAAAATAAAATCAAAAAATAAAATAAAATAATTTTCCTACCTACCTACCCTATTTTTTTCAGGCTGGTAGCAGGAAACAAGACTACTATTTTTTTTGGCCTGAGTACCAAATTTCTTGAGACAGTCACACTGATGATGAATACAACAAAATTTTGGCCAAAAAGTGATTACTTCATAAATTAACAATTTTGCATAGTAATTAATGCAAAATTGTTAATTTACGACATAATCATTTACTTTGGGTAGGTTTAAATGCCTAAGTAGCTATTAATAGCTACGTAGGTAGAAATACTCTGGACTTTGGTGAAGGATAGTATTATTATTTTAATAATATGCATGGAATGTCAGACATCTCAGCCCAACGACACCTCGTGCCATTGACATCTCAGCCCAATGACACCTCAGCCCTGATAGGTCGGCCCAAGATTTAAGAAAGGTCGGCCCATATATAAGACACCTCGGCTCAAACAAAATTTTATTTCGAAATATATTTCCAATTTGCGACTTTAATAAAATATTGACTGAAAAAAAGTAAATGAGTAAATGATACTTTTCTGCCTTCTATTTCTGCATTACCTGCAAAGGATGAACAGGTGGCTCTATATATAATCACTATCGCTAAAGATTGCAAATCATCAAGCAAAATTCAATTAGCTACACACTCCATAATCTGGGCCCATCAGCTAGCAGGACTAAAAGATCCATGTGAATCTGCTTTAGTGAAATTAACAAAGGAGGGTGCAATAAGAGAGACTTCCAAGCCTGTTGTAAAAAAGGAACCAATCCCACCAGATCATTTGAAATTAAGGGTGCAACGATAAACCGTTTGACGGTATATCGCGGTATATTTTTCCACGGTTCAATTCACGATACACTAAACTGATATCGCGGTTCGGTTCAATCGGTCCAGAATTATCCGTTTTGTCCGTTTTATTTCCTTCTCTACTATTTCAAAATGGCTTCCGCGCAAAACGTGAGGTCGCCGATAACGCATTTATGGCAGTTAAACTCATCTCCAGCATCTTACAGACATCAGATTTAACACGGAGAAGGACTTAATGTGATTATAAGTTATAGATGTTAAGACAAATGATAAACCCTTTAGATCTTTAAACGTATTCTTTAGTAATACACGATATTCCATCACGTGTGTATTTCGATGAAAATTCGCTGTCTTGTTGACTAAAACGTATTAACACAAGAAATATGACAACTGGTTTTCTACGTAAATAAAAGAAATAAAAGAATGAATGTCTTCCTTTTTCATTCCAATTTAAAAGGAAGATTATTAGGAAAGGTCCCCGTAGTTCCCTGTAAATGTTCATCATTGGTTTAGAATGTTGTCACAACTCAAAGATCTACCTAAAAATCCAATTCAAGTTAACAAAATGTTATTTTAATTATTATTAAAAAAATATGAACGTTTTGTATAACCCTGTCAAGTTTAAAAGAATATGATGACAAACTTGAAAGACTTTTTAACCTTGTCATGTATCGTGATACGTATCGTATCGTGAACTGAATACCGTGATATGTATCGTATCGTGAGGTTAGTGTATCGTTGCACCCCTATTTGAAATTATTGGTTCAGAGATACAAATGGAATAATTTATATATAATGTGTACTTTATGTTTGTGTTTGTTAGGTTTTGCAGGGTTCCTCAGATTTTCGGAGCTCGCAAATATTAGACTTACTGAGATATCATTTGATGATGTGTGTATGAAAATTAACATTGTCTAAAGTAAAACGGATATTTATAAAGAAGGTCACGAGTTGTGTATTGCTAGAACTCATGGTGATACTTGTCCTGCACATATGTTAGAAGAATATATAAAATTGTTGGATGTTGAAGTTGATTCATCAGAATATTTATTCAGATCTTTGACATTCTGTAAAAATACAAATGCATATAAAGTTAGAAGAGATAATCGGCCTTTGTGTTACTCTTATACTAGAACACGAGAAATTGTTTTAGATGCTTTTGGAGAAATAGGGTTAGATCATAAGAGTAAATTTGGTCTTCATAGCCTACAGTCAGGCAGGGCAACTTCCGCTGCAGCGGCTGGTATTAGTGACAGATTGTTTAAAAAGTATGGGTGGTGGAGGTCAGAAAAAGCTAAAGACGGCTATGTGAAAGAAAATATTCAGAAAAATTATTTGTAACCCAAAACTTAGGTATTTAAAATTTATATACAAGTCATTCCCTTTATCGCTAGCTCCTCTTTGTCTTTTGAAAAAAGTAAACTGCACTATCAGAGCACATCCTAATATACATGTTTGTGTTAATTTTCTAAATTATTTATGTTCCTTTGAGTGGCACAAATAAGAACATAAAAGGCATTTTCCAGAAGAGATAGATGTTAGTTAAAGACTGATCTGATTTACTTGGTATCAGGTTCATTTGCCCTTATATCTACCTGTTCGCATGAGTCCGTTTGCGCAGGGTCCGTTCGCTATTATTCTTGTTCGCCCTTACATATATACAGTATATAGTAAATATTAACATTTATTACTAATTTCATTCAATATTTTATGACCTGGTGTTTTTTCCCAAATTTTTTTTAATTTATCGTAATCTTAATTAAACAATTCAAATTTGATATTAATGCATTTTACAAGTTTAATTGGTTTAATTATACTTTATAATGTCACTGTAATTTAGGGGATCATATTCATGTTTTTTTTTTTACAATCTGTGTTATATCTTGAAAACAATTAAAGGACGGAGACTTTAATTTCTGTTGGTCTGCCGGGTCTTTGATAGGAGAGGTATATATTGTGTGACCACATGCATACGTCTGTTGTCACCCGTGTGCAATTTATGTACCAATGTACATATAATTTATTTTAAAACATCCATTGGTTCATTATTCAACTTTCTGCAATATAAATAAGGCGAAAGGACCCTGTGCGAACAAGTTTTAGGGCGATCGGACTTTGGGCGAACGGCGTCAAGGGCAAACAAATTTTCGGGCGAAAGAACATACAACCGATTTACTTAGCATTATAGACCCCCCCTCAATTTGATTTTTATTTTAAACCGAAAATTGTTTAATCATCAGAGAGGATAATTACAGCAAAAACACATTCAATTCAGACACTGGGTTTTTAACTATCAAAATTTTTTACTTGGGCCGAGGAGTCTTTCATATGGGCGGACGTGTCAATAAAATTTGGGCTGGCCTGTCATGGCCGAGGTGTCAGACATGACGGGCCAAGGAGTCATTGGGCCGAGATGTCTGTCTACCTATGCATGTATGATATATCATATATATATATATATATGATATATGTATGATATATGCATGTATGCAGAGAGGCTGGTTGTGAAGTAATATAAGAGAAATATCTCTGTGCTCACCACAATGGTGGGCACCGTAAATCATATTATATATTGAAAATCTATTGCAAAAAGTGATTACGTTTGTACTGGGGGACGGAAAATATTTCTCAATTAAACCACAGATCTTCAAAATGTTCATCCTATGGTATGTGTGAGAATTGAGAGAAACTTGCTAAATTTTAATTTAGTCCCTAGTTCCAATAAAAAAGGAGGATATTAAATATGTGTGTGTGTGTGTGTATGTATGTGTGTGTGTTTTAATCCTTACCATAGCTAACTCCATGTAGATCATACTGTTGCATGCGAAGGGCAGCGAACTCGTGCGCTGCTGAAACTGGACTCACTGGGGATAGAATTATGAAAATGGGAATGAAAAAGAGGAATGAAAAAGGAAAGCTATTCTTAAACATCTCAAGTAACTCCCCAACATCACTGAGCACCATGGTTGGAGAGATTGACTACCACTAACGCTACCAGCAACTGCTGCCTCAAGTCTCAGGTGAAATCGGAAATCGAGCGTGGTGGTGTTTGCATTAGTGAATATCAATCCCGATTTAAATATGTTTTCCTACACTCCTCGCTTAAATGACAGAATAATTTGCTTTTATTCAACAAATTTAAATCACTGGTGCATAAAAATTAATTTGTTTCCTTAACATATTTTTTTTCAGATAAGAAATATTCATGTTTCTTTATCGGGATCGATATTTTGTAAACGGAAATGACGTCTAAATGAGGCTGATGGCGTACGAAAGGTGAGGAGGTGTTGCATAGAAGGACCGATTATGCGAAATTAGTGATGATTTTTTCATTTGTTTGTTTGTATTTTGTTGTGTTTTTGTATTATGTTTTACAGCCTTATCGTTGGGGTTAACACAGTTGTGTATTTGTTACTGCTTTATATGATACTACACTTTTTAACGTAGATCATATATAGATCCGCCCCTTCAAACCACCATAACCACAGGCACTTGTTTCCGTAATAAAAGTTTACCTCCATAGTAAAATTAAATAATACCATGTGGATAAACTTTTATTACAGAAACAAGCGCCTGTACATCAAACTGCACTATGTATTGTAGTTAGAATAATCTAACTGTGTATCGGGACAAGCCCTCACCACAGTTAGAATACCTCCCATATACTCGCAATGTAGCAAAAAATTGCAGAATTGCTCCGAAACGATTTTGAAGAATACGAAAGGATTTGCACTGAAAATAACTTCCAAATTAATTATAAGAAACCTTTTAGAGGTTGTGTATGCCTTTAAACCTAAAATATATTCCAAATAAAGATGAAAATTCAACTAATTTTCTCAACGTTTTTTCTCGCTTCAAATTTACACGCCATTTGTACATTCGGAACTCTCTAAGTTGTTTATAGTAAATGCACTGAGTTCGAGTTATTGCCCATGTTTGTTTTGCCACATAGTGAATACACAGAACGAATTCTATCGTGAAACCGGGTCCGTAGGACATTTATCATTTTAACGATAGAACATTCTATCTATATGTATTGTTGCAATGTGCAGGTTGGGCACACACCACCAAATGATGATTTAACCCCCCCCCCCCCAATTTGATGGTCAATTGCCCTAATCAGAGTCATTATTTACTGACCATTTGGGAGAGAAAAATTGTTTTGTTCAGTTCTGTGGAATGTCGTGAAATGGCACATAATTTTAACTCATGGGAAATAAAATATAGATATTTATCTGTGCTCTGGACAAAAAAATCAGAAATTCAACGCAGAGTTTTTTGATAAAGTATTTGACAAAGTCTTCACCTATGGAAACAAGTGCAACGTTCCTGTGTTTTACTTAAAAAGAAAAATTCCCTCCTTCCTGACTGTTGTTGCACTCATCAATTGTGTTTCTTACTTTCTATTTCTATCATCTGGGCAACCAATCAAATTATTTAAACCAATAAAAAATGATCTTTTCTGAACCAGGTCAAAAGACTGATTTAACTTTTGAGGCACATTGGTGTCAATTTTCAATTAGGAAATAAAAGAAAAGATGAGAATTCACTTTTATTTCATTTTATTTTGTACGCAATGGCTTTATTCTTTATAAAAATAGGACATAAAGCGAGATCATGATAAAATTATTTCTTCAAAATGATGTTCTTGGAAGAAAAATAAGAATAATTGCAACTGTCACTTTGTGAATCTTTTATTCATAACGATTGATTAATATAGCAGATTCATCATAAATATGCATACTAAACCACAAAAGGTCACACGAAATTGTAACTTCATCTTAAAAGAAAATAAAGAATAAATGTTACATTACAAATGTAGAAAAATGAGTATTATAGCAATAAGTGCCTACCATACCAATAAGGGATTAGGAGCTCATGTTTAACGGGATTTTATAAAGTTTTATAAAGACGAAGATCCAAAGATCGAATGAAAGTTAACTTGTCAAGAGTTAAACCACTGGTCTAAATAGAATTTTTTATCCAACTATACAAAAATATTTTTTTGGATAGATTGAGCAAGTTTTGCCATCATGCTGTAGGTGTTTTTTTTTTTACGAAGTTCCACAGAAATTTCACATGGAAAATTGACTGAACTTTAATAATTGTGTGAGGAATTCAATATGTTTACTAAAATTCCCCGATGCCTATGCCAGTGCACCTTTGCTTTATTTTAATAAAAATTGGATTTGAATAAACAAAGACCACCATTTGGTCAGTAAAAACTGACTCCAATATGGGCGATTGACCAACAAATGGGTGTTAAATCACCATTTAGTGGTGTGTGCTCAACCTGATATGATTAAAATCAGATCTTTGTTACGCTCCAAAATTCTGATTGTCGCTGTACAAAGTCTCTGTACAGGGACTATCAGAATTTCAAAGCATATCAATAATCTGATTTTAATCAGATTGAAAGGTGATATGCATATCTATCTGAAAATTTCAATTTTAGCAAAGGGGGAACGGTTGGTTATCATGATAACGTAGTTTTGGTGCTGTCATTAGACTTGTCAGGGCTCTACCCTTCATAAGGTTTAATTAAGGAGGCTCTAAACACGGGCCTCTAAACACTGCTAAAAAAAGAGTTCTAATTCCATGGTAATTATATGCATTTTGAGTGAACTGCCCTTTTGATGGAATAAATGGAAATCTACAGTAAATGACTCAATTTAAAATGGATTAAGATATTTTAAACATTATATTAAACTTAGATAATGTATACAGGGACCCCCAAAAATATACTGCAATATTGATGAAGTAGATTAAATAAATTAAAGACACATTTTCACAGTGTTTGAAACTCATGGTAGAATTAGCTAGGCATGCAGGGCTGACTGCTAGTGAAAGTTGTCAGCCCTGCCAAAAATCTACTAGCTCGAGAAAATAAAAGTCTTTTATAAATGTTTTAGCAATTATAATGTGAATGGGGCATGATCACCGTAACTTCCGTCCGGAATTCTACCCCTTTGCTTGTTACAGTTTGCTACCGATACTATTAGTTGATTTGAGAGATATTTAAATATATGAATTTTAATTTATGGCAAATTTTAACATGTCCAGCCAGGCTTTGACCTGTGCAAATCTGTCCATCTGCGGCAAAATTTGTGCATCTTGGGCGGTCGGGTGCACAGTTATTTCAAACACTGATTTTAACTTAGTTTTATAATTATTATTATTCCCCTAGCCATTGTTCCTAAAAGGAACAGTGAGACTTATTTTTCTTCTCATAAGAACATCTTTTTCCCTTTCTTCCCATGAAGCTTTCATCACTTTTCCTTCTATCAGGCACAAACCATGTATTAGGCCAGTTCAGTATTTTATGATGAGTGCAAAACCAGTAGAGGTGTGTTACAGAAAACTAAAACAGAATATATTATGGTGGAAACACAATTCTCAAAATGTTGAAGACATTGATAAATTCTTCTTCTTTTTTTTTTAAGATTTTTGACAGTCCTTACAAAAATAATGTGATTTTCAAGAACTTTGCTTTAATGTCACGTTATATCCATCTGCTCAATAGAAATGTAGTATGGGTACCAATCTTTTTCATTGTCAATCTTAAATTATCAGGAAGAATAATTTTGTGACTTAAAACAACTGAAAATGAAGAATTTTTTGGAAAGGGTAAATTTAGAGCATTTTTCTTGATTTAACATCTACTCCATGTCTCCATATTTGATTTCCTAAGCAAGCAAGGCTGGAAGATCAGCGTCAATTTTGATGACATATTTTAATATTGCAGTGTGCGTGTCAGTAGGTGGAGTGATGATCATGCACACAAGAGTAGCCTGGAGGCTGCTGCTGAGGCTGCAGCAAAAGTCAATGCAATGCTTATTGCTAAAGGAAAGCTGAAACCATCCCAACTGTCACAACAGCAGGGTCTCAAACCTAAGGTGGGATCTCTCAAAATCTGAAAACTTTACTGGGATTTTGTGAAATTATCAAATTATTCACAGTCTTCCCAGGTTCAACAACTTTCTTTTCATTAATAGTAATTATTTTGAAATGGGGAAGTTTCTGTACTAGTGATCTATAATTTTCAAGACAATTTTTATGCACATAGATAGGTTTAGGGGTTTAGGTGTTTGATGCTCTCTAGTCAGTGTATGTGTATTAGATCATACTTATTAGATGAACTTGGAGCATAACTTTCAGTATTCCAAATGAAAAAAATAGATACTAGTATATTAATTCAAATCTAAAACCAAATTAAAGAATTGAACAAAACATTATTGTTATGAAGTATCAGATTTCTGTGATTTGTTTCAGTTCTAGTTTTGTAACTTTTTTTTTCCAAATTCAATAGACAGAATCTTACATTGTATGTATATAGGGTGAGTTAACCATGCATCGGACACATACCTTGCTTCGGACAACTTTAAGCAATAAACTTTCATTGAACCTGAGTCTCCCCGTGTTTTTACTTGTTTCTGTCTTAAAGGTGAAGATTTAAACTTTTTAATGATGCCGATTTTTATTTCCATGTTGTGATAAAAATACCACAAGAATGGCCTTGAAATTACATCATATTTTGCATCATCAATGGGGGAGTAACCAGAATTTTACGATTTTGTAATTTTTAGAGTTGTCGCTCTTTTAAATAGATTTCAACGGAACGAGTCGGGCCTAGGTAAAATTTGTCAATGATTGATATTTTTACAGAAATTTTTCAAAAATTCTACTTCAATGTTTGTATAATAATTTTTAGAGTTGTTTTTTACTATTATGTTCATTTCACCGTACATCGGACACAAATTAACCATGCATCGGACATTTTCCGATGCATGGGTAATCACTTCCATTCTCATATAAAACCCAGATGACAGCTGTTTTTACGGAAATAGAAAATAAAAACTCTAAATTTTAAGTGAAAATACAAGATATCGATATATGACGACTAGAAGTGGACCCAATTTATTTCTTTAAACTAGATGATGATAACCCACGAGACAAAGGCGTGAGTTGCCATATTACTAGCATTGTAAAGCTTTTCTAAGGCGATGTGATGCACCTAAAATCTCTTCACATTTGTGGATCAAAATAGTAATTCAAATTTAACTAGAAGTTTAATTTTTTAATAAAAGATAAAAATGTTTCGATATCACTCATTTTAAAGCACCGATATCAAGGTGTGATATTTTTCTGGTTAAAATACCGTATGTCCGATGCATGGTGAATATTGTCCGATCCATGGTGAATTCTGACTTATTTCGAAAAAATCGGGTTTTAATGATATTTTCTCAATAAAGAGCACACGATTGTGTCAAAAATTTATATTTTAACCACATACTACATGTTAAGTTCCATTTTGATAATATTCGGTCGGTAGCGATATCGCTAGAACTTGTTGAGGTGCGAGGGTGTCCGATGCATGGTGAATTCACCCAATTGGTTTTTGTTGATTTTCTTAGAACATTGTTGAAACTGTCTTTTTAGAGTACCTCACAGCCAGGTAGTCTTATTGTAGCTGAGGTAGAGATTAATGATGTTCCAATTGGATGTAGAAATATGCTAACCAGGGGAGCCACGCAGGAAGAGGTGAGATAATATCATTGTAGTCATATTTACCACATCAGAACGTGCAGTTAATGTGTGACTTTGTAAGAATTTTTTTTCTAATTTAAGCTTCTTTTGTTATAATGAGCTTTCATTTTTTTCTTCTCTACATTCATTAATTATCATATAATGCAAGACAAAATCAATGATTATTACTGCAACTTTCTGAAAAACTATATAATGATATTATGCTTTTTTATCAGATATCTAAACTAAGTGGATCTGCTGTTTCAACTAGAGGTCGATATTTATCACCAGAGGAGAAAATGAGGAATCTTGGGTATTTTAGTTTGTTTTCTGTGTATTGTGACAAGCAGTTTAAACATGGATGTTTATATGAGCTGCTTTTCCATGTATTGGTGTATAATCATCTAATTTTGATGAGTTAAGATTTTAAAAAAAAAGCAGTGACAGACAACAGTTTTACAAAGAAATTCTTTTTATTGTTTCAGAGACAGGCCACTGTATCTGTGTGTCCAGGGTTCAACTCAGGAATCAGTAGACAGTGAGTATTCTGTAGAAAACGTTATCAGTATTTTCAGGACCTGGATGCATCTACATATTTTGATTTATACATTGATATTCTCAGGTTTATCACCTCTCTCCTTGATCTATATTGGGTGTACAATTTTGTATATGCAAAAAAAAAAGAAAAGAAAAGAAAAAGATAAATGTAAAAAAATATTTCATCTTTGAAGACCCCAAAAATTGACTTGGAACCAATTGTTGTAGTTGCTGTTGGGAGGATAAATGAAATCATACTTAATGGTATGAAGTCTAAAGGTTCTCGATTCACACCCATCACAAGACCTGTGGCTCCAATACAGAGACCAATGCTGAGTCAACCCCCTCCCCTCATGTCACTGGAAACCCAGCCCCCTCCAATTCCATCAGGGGTAAGATTTATTCTACACAGATCCTTTTTTCAATTCCTGAAGATGAAAGGTTTACAACAACTTTACTTTGGTCTGTCTTTTAACCACAACTCTTATATTTTAGTTTAAATTTTATGACATGAGAAAGAAAATATATAATTGATGAAGATGAACTTAAAGCACAATTTTTTTTAATTTTCTTTGAAAAAAAAAATATAGAAAGTTTAGTGTTTGAAAGAAATTTTGTGTGACTTTTGATATCATTGTTGCAGGTTCCAGTGTTGCAGGAGAAATTATACATAGGTCTAGAACATGCACCTCCAAACTTTGATGTTAAGAATAAAATGTTAGGACCAATGGTAAATATCAAGAAAACTTGATTAAATTATGAAACATCATACAAGATGTTTTTATTGATGATTTTTTTTTAAATGTTCCATTTTGTGGTATTTCAAGGGCTCATTTTTAAACCACATCCAGACAGAGACTGGTGCTAAAGTTACTCTGAGAGGAAAAGGATCAGGATTTCTGGAACCTTTATCTGGCAGGGAGGCATTTGAACCCATGCATGTTCATATTCAGTAAGTAAAAATGTTACAAAATGTACAAAACTTTTTCTTGACATTTGTAAAATTTTACTCATGATATTGAATTTATTTTTCTTTGTTTTTATGCTATGATGCAAATTCAAAATTGATGCATAAAATGAACACCAAAATTTAAACAAATATAAAAAAAAAAGGAAAATTTTATATCACAGTGCTCCAAGTCACACTTACTATCAGGTCAGTAAATGGAACCTAAAATTTTCATTTGGACATCGACATTTCAGGATTTCTAGTGGCCATCAACAAATACATGTATTTCACTTGCCATGGCGAAAACTTTTAGTGAATTAAACAAGTATATTATAAAATAAGGAACAAACACTGATATATGTATTATGTCTTTATTTGATCAAAGATAACTGACTACTGTGACTAAGCAGTTTACTTAGTTGAAGGAACCACCTATGAAGTATTGTAATTAAATACAACCACCGGTTTAGTTGTAAACTGTACACAGTAGAACAAGTTATCTGAATCTAGAAATAAAATTAAGTCGTATGAAATGCAAGGAGTGTCACTGGTATGTGCATAAGGTGGACACCTACTGAGACAGGACTTTGCCAGCTGTTTGCCTTGTTAACTTGATTACTACATACCTAACCTATTAAATAGTTGCTGTTATTACCGCCAAAACACTTTAAATTAGTTTTAATATGCAAGGAGTTGTCCAAATGCTTCATTAAGATGCTGCATGACTATGATATGATCAGAGAGTCCTCACCAAACTAAAATTTTTGTTACATGACTTCAGAATTCTAGTTCCAAGTGTGGCCAAATTAGTCATAACATGATACCCAGGTGACTTTCATGACCTGTGGGCCTCTTGTGAAATATACACAATTTTATTATACATATTTATAGACAGTTTTACTGTTTTTTTTTTTAACAGACATGGACTGCTTGTTGGACTTCAGAATGCCAAACAGCTGGCTGAAAATTTGATTCAAACAGTAAGTAAAGACATTTTGTACTGTTTAAAATTAATGTTACCACTTATATTTTTTTCCAGATACATGTACATGCAAAGGAGAGTACACAATAAAAGCCATCGATGAAAGGCAGAAAATGCTGAAAAATCTTGTTAGGTCAGGAAAAAATCAACAACACTTCATTGTTGAAAATTGTAATCATCTCATTATGAATTTTTTTTTTTATCTGCACACAGCAATCAGATTTGCATGACTTGGATAATATTTCCCACCCGATTTTCATACAGAATTACATACATTTGCAGTGTAAAGGTTTGTATGAAATGACATAAGTCAGGCCCCTGGACAAGGTTTTGTTGTGTTTGTTGTGTGTGAAATTCTAACTTGCTTTGTCTTTCAGATCCATAGAAGAGAAGATTTTTATTTAATGTATATACTGTATATCAAATCACTGGTTTCAAATATGTTCATATCACTAATGCATAATATTTCCACTGTACATGTAATGTAATGATCAAATATGCGTGTATTACACTGTATGTACAGTATATCACACAAAAATATATGCGTGTATCTATCGATTAGGGAAGCAATTATTTCTAAAAATTATATACTGAGAGTTTTACATACATGTATGTGTTTATTTACATGTATTTTGCACAAAGTTTACTAAGAAGGGACTTGTAATCAGGGATTAATTTGTCCTAAAGGGATTAAAGCTTTTTTGATATCACCATTGGGATTTACAGTAAAACTTGTCTAATCCGAACTAGGAGTGAAACGGTTCACCGCGGTATCGATTCACTGCGGTATTTTTTCTCGGTTTGATACACGGTGCAAAGTCTCTAATTTTCGGTTCGGTTCATTTTTCAGTCGGGATCGTTATTCAGTCGGGTTTGGCATAAGGTAAAACACGTTACTCGGTATAAATAAGTATAGAAAACGTAAATTTTTGATGACTGATAGCTTGTAAAATAATTTTTGACAGTCAAATAATTTTAATCAATTTCTTCTAGTCAATTTGCAAATATAATTCGTAAAATATGTGACTAGATTTAGAAAAAGAAAGCATAAAACAACGTTGAATTTGTTTCCTTCTATCAAAATGTATCATATCGAAAATAACCGAACCGAGACAAAATTATACAATACGTATCGAACCTTGAAGGAGGTGTATCGTTTCACCCCTAAATTCCGAACACCACTGGTTCCAGAGAAAATGGCCAGATTAGACAACATTCTGCATTAGACAACATTTAAAACAAATGAATTTAAGGAAATGGACTTAAAGTTAACATCGTATTAAGCAAGATTTCAGATTACACAACATCTGGATTAGATAAGTTTCACTGTATTTGTCCTAAAGGGATTAAAGCTTTTGTGATATCGCCATTGGGATTTATTTGTCCTAAAGGGATTACAGCTTTTGTGATATCACCATTGGGATTTATTTGTCCTGAAGGGATTAAAGCTTTTATGTTATCACCATTGGGATTGGCAGTAGGCATTTTATGGTGTATATGAATTTTAACATATATTCCCAGAACGAAATTATTAACATATTTCAAAATTGTTTTGAGAAAAACTTGTGACCTTTATTGGAGCAATTTTAAAAAAAGTGTCTTCGGTATCTTCAAATTTTACATGTGCTTTAAATATATGCACGTAGAAAATATATATATACATATATATCCCTTCTTAATAATTATTGTGCTACAAACGTTAACACTTAATAACTATGCCACAGACTTCTTTATTTTTTTATGACCATTTTTACTGTCAGAGAATGGCAATCAAATAGGGAATTGCTAATTGGTTAACTGCAACACATTGTACTAATTAACTAGTCAACTTATATCTGTCATTATTCAACTATAAATTCACCAGATTTAGATCTATCTATCTAGATTTCTTTTAATGGGAAAAATGGAAAAGAAAAAAACAAGAGTATGAAATATTTATGGTGAATTTAGAAATCAAAGGACTCTGGAACAATTTGGAAGTGTGATTGAAGTCCACTTCAATAGTATTTGAATCAACAAATCTAGCACCAAAGTTCTTATTTTTGCTAAACATTTTGATTTCTGTAGTAGAATATAAAGTATTGTGCAAAGTTAAGTTTTTTAAAAGACCTGTTTCAGATACCACATATGAACATACAAATGTACATAAAAAGAAAAGGTTGTAGAAACCTGGCTTACGTTTATTGTTAAGGATATTTATTTATCACATGTTTGCTCCTTTGTATAGTTGATGTCAGTTATATGATGTCAGTTTAATATCCACAGTAGTGATGTCACGATGGTTTTTGCATGAAAATGATGATGACAAAGTAGATTGATACATAAAAACTGTGTAAAATGTGATAGTTATAAGTAAAACATGTGGTAAAAAGAATATTCCATGATTTGTGGTTGGATATGACTCTTATCTAATAGCTGTGTGTTATCTACCTCTTGCAAGGATCTGGTATAGAAAACACACAACTCCTTGGATAAAAATCATATCCAACCATAAATCTTGGGAGATCCTATGCATAATCTAGACTACATTTGATTTACATGAACATGTACATTATCTCCATTTGAACTTCATTTTAATTTTTTTTTCAATATGAGAATTTTGATAACTGATTGCAGATTTTGCAAGGTTTCCATTGTTCTGATCAATGAATAAGTTGTCGGACCAGTTAGCAATTGCCATCCATAAATTTTACACAAAATGATTAAATAAAGGTACACATATTTGAAAAACTGATACCCCTGATTTCAGTGAACTTGGTACTCTTTAGAAATCTTGATGGGACACTGACAGACAGCTGACAGATGTGACAAGACTGCATGGACCTACACTATAGGTTGTATAATCAATCAAATGCTTTGGTCTCTTCTAGGTGCAGCAAGATTATGCCCAGTTCCAGCAAGCTTTGGTTGCTATGCCACCCACTCTATCCCCTGCTACAGCTACCATATTAGCAGGTCTGCAGCAGAGTAAGTCTATGGCTAATCCAGAGGCGCTCCTAATGTTAAGGAGAATTCAGTATTGTTAGGGCCCAGGAAATAGTCTGTATTTTAATATCTGAATTTTCTGTCCATATTTTGAGGCCACCAGGATGAGAAGAACCCCAAGATGTTGTTTTTGCTGACCTTATTTTCTCCAAACCATCCACTGAATAGATTAGTTTTGATATTTACATCATATTTTATGAATAATGAAATTATTCTTTTTATATGAGAAATTGTTATTTAGTAGATTTTACATTTCATTCATCCATATATATTTTAGACAGGACTTCTTGAAGCATTTGACAGTTTTAAGCAAATGTTTCCAGCAAAACAAAATTTTAAAAAGATGAAAATATATATCGATGAATAGATATGAATTATTGCTTACCGTATTTTATTGTATCATTGTATGTTTGATTAACAAAGAATATTTCCAGAATAATTATTGACATTGTTTTAGATAACAAGGGAACATATACTTTGAATCGGAGGTCGTCTAGGTCTTTGAATCCTGAAGGACGATAGAAATTCATTACATTTGATTCCACAGGTCTTCCGTCAGCTGACTTTTACTGATGTCAGATTACAGACCTCAGGATCCTCGGTGTTTAAGAATTTAGGAATACTAACCATGCAATGCTAACACTGTCTGCTATTGTAATATTTATGGAATTTTATTTTAAGGATAACATGGATTGTCAGACATTTTCTCGAATTTTCTCTTTAGTGAAATTTCTCAAATTTTAAAATTGACAGACATCAATAAAGAGGGACAATAGGACCAGTGTGTCTGTACCGGTGGGGTATTACATCATGTGAGCATTGATATTTTGCCCATAGATTCCATATCTATAACCTTGGGAATTTAAATTAATGTATAAATTCATTGAAGTTATATTTTATCTGCAGGAAAGAGCAGTAATGATGGTGTCACAATGAAAGCCAGAGAAATTATTTGTTTTTTAATTAGCATTTCAGTCCCATAGTTTTTTTTTCTTACAACAAATTAGTGCAATGAAACTTCCCATAGACAATGAGAATCCCAGGATCTTGATCAGCAGTTGTTTCTAATGCTGTATTTTTGTTCCAGAAATGCAAATAATCAGAGAATAGATTATATTTGTTAAAGCAGTCTTTTAATTTGAAATAATTAATTTTCAAAAGGAATATAAAGTGGGGTGAAACAGGTTGTGCCAAGTATTTACATGTACATACAGTTAAACTTAGGTATCTCGAATATCTCAAAGACCATGGATTTGTTCAAGTGTGTTCGAAGTCCCAACAACTTTAAATTTTCCTAATGTATTTTAACCTTAATATCTCAGATTCTCAGATATTTTGAAGTTTTTTCTCGGCGTCATTGAGTTTGAGATAACGATGTTTGACTGTATGTATTTAATAAAGATTTTTATTTAATCCAATTGACTGGACAAGATATTTTAAGATTTCAGGTAAGACCATGGACTCTTAGAGTTAATGTGTATATATTGAAATAAAATGTATGAGAAATTTCACAGAAAAGCTTTAAATGCAGACAGTATCAGCATTGTATGATGATAAGGTTTAATCGTTACCTACATTAACATGTTTATATCAGTGACTATTGGATTATTTATACAGGTACCCCAGGAGGGATATTTAGCCACCCTACTCTTGGTGCTCTGTCAGGTGTCACTCAGGCATTATCTTTACAACCCCAGCCAGGTAAAAACACACTCAAAACCAGCTCATTTTAAAACATTGGTCAGTTTGAAAATAAAATCAGTGTGGGTAAGATTATATTTTATGTTTTAGTACAGGTCAATTTAGATATCTGAATGTTAGAATATATATTACTTTTAGTACAGGTAAACTTCGGTATCTTGACAACTGGAGATATGTTGATGTCCCTGCAGTATTTACTTACAAAAACTCAGTAAAGCTTTCTGCCTCACTTTTCTCAATGTGTATTCACTGTTCAAAGAGCAATTTTACAAAATGACATTAAGGCAGTTTCCTGCTATACTTAACATTTTAGATTGTCCTTATCATGCAGGGACAACCTAGGTATCTTGACATCTTTAAGAAATTCACACTGTTCGGACTGCACACAATTTAGTTCCATAATCTCAAGCATAAACGTCTTAAAATTGTTTAGAAATATTAATTGATGGATGCAATTGTTTAATATGTTGATGAAAACACATTAATTTATTTGGAAACCTGTGATGAATTTAAAGGGCAACTGCTTCAGAATAAATCATAGTTAAATAATAAACACATTGAATTCAATTAAATTTTTGTAAGAAACTAAATTATTTGTTTTGTTAGAGAAATGTATTGAGTAGATAACAATCCAATAAATGACACATCTACCTGGTAAACAGCAGGATTTTTTTGTAATTATTTATAATTTGTAATTTAAAAAAAAGGAAATGCTGTAAATGGGATGAGAATCAAATTACCTGATAACTGAATTTGCATATGTAACATAATGAACTTAAAGTTTTGCCATGAGAACTTTTATGTTGAGTCCTCGCCCTGAATTTCTTGGAAATTATTTTGTGGTCCCACTGATGTTTTAGATACCAGAGTTAACCAGTACTAAGAACTTGTTGTATGGAAAATTGACCCCCAAAATATATTTTAAAAAAAATGAAAATGAAATATTTCATTCATTTCAAATGCATTTGAATCAAAATTTTGATTCAATTTAAGATGTTATTTAATAGTCTCCTTTAATCTTTATATAGGATTACAACCACTAAATTCCATGCCTGCTATCAATCAACCGGTGATGACAAATGTAGTTCTCTCCTCTAGTCCTGTTCTAACTTCCAATAACCCAGGTCAGAATCTAAATACATGTATATGAAGAAAAAGAAAACTCTTATAGAAGACTGGAGATATATCTTTTAAATTTCTCCCAGTAAATATAAAATTCAGTGGCACATTCATGAAGGAGATAATTTGCTACAAAGTTTGTACTAAATGTTTTATTATTTACAGTAGGTTCCTCGATAGCAGGTCCTCATCCTCAGCAGGTAATAGTACAGACACAGGTACCCCCTCCTCATGCTGTTCCTCATTTGGGGCCTCAGCATCTTTATCCGGGAAATCCTCCCCCTGCCAGTAGCCCTCAGCCTCTGATGACAACAGTACAACCAGAGTTAGTGCCAGCTTCACTACCGATGTGGGGGTCTCCAGCCCCGGCTGGCATGCCAGCCCAACAGATCATCCAACAGGTAATTGTTCTTTATAACCCATCTTAACAAAGTTTTGGGAGTATATAGGTATTCACCATGTCTCTTTGTCTGTTTGTCTGTATGTTGATAAATTTGTTTCCAGACCATATTTTGGTAATCGAGAAATATTGTTAAGTTCATACATCACACAAAGAATGCTTAAAAACTGAGGATGTGCCATGGCCTTGATCCAAGGTCATTTGTGAAAGTTCAAGGTCAATGGCAGAAATAGTGTAATATGTGTCTGGTCCATGACTTTCTATTTGATAATAAAATTATTATTATGAAAAGTGAAATAAATACTTTTACTTTAGATTCCAATGAGTGTTGGTGCTCCAGTCAGTAGTTATGGACCACCCATCTCAAGTGCCTATCCATCTTTCTCCACTTCACTGGGACCATCAACAAGCACGTATGCTCCTATCAGCAGCGTCCCACTAGCTAGAGTGTCCTCTCCAGTGGCTGTTACCTCCTCCACAACTAGTGGATACAGCTATAATGGACCCCTGAAGGAGGAAAATAAAAGGAGATTTACAGAGGAAAAACCAGAAGAAAAAGTACCAGAAAACCTCCTAGGTTATGAGGTTTGTTAAAATATCATTGTAATGACTTGCAACGAGTGTGTGTTGATACCCATTGATTTCCTGACAATTATTATACTTTCAAGTGGATTTCGTACACAAAAAAGTACATTAACAGAATATGCAGCAATATTCAAATTTGTAAATGTTAGTTCTTGTCCTCAAAATAAATTGCAAATATATAAATTAGAAATGAATAATTATAATTCAGTTCATTTAGAAGATGCAGTTTATGTATATGTTTTATTTCAGCATGGTCCACCCCACCTGACAAATCTGGTGGTACAGGGACCACCCCCTGTACAGTCTCAGTCTCCCTCCCAAGGACAGCTGGTCCAGGCACCAGTCACTCATGTCATTCAGACTGTAACTCCAACACAGGTCATACATGGTCCACCTCCAGCTCAAATAGTCCAAGGACCACCTCCAGGATACCAGGCACCCCCACCACACTTCATACATGGGCCACCACCTCCTGGACAGATTCCAGCCCCCTATCAACTGGGGGCACCTCCTACTGTGTCTGAAGGGGTACCTGTAATGTCACAAAGTACTCAACCACCACTTGGGTCTCCTGTGTATTCTGTCCATACTTCCATTTCAGAGGAGGGCAGGTTTGTTTAGTATAAAGAAACTTGAAAATAGTACAGTAAAACATGCTTATAGCAATCACACTCTTAATGAATTGATTCTTATAGTGAAATGATTTTTATTATTCCCTGTGGCTCTAAAATATATATATATATTGTGAACTTAATGGATATAATGAGTTACATTTCTAAGGAAGCAAAATCATATGTCCCTGACACTCTATTATAAGTGTGTTTTACTGCATTTGACTTTTGGCATACATTTTCTGTAGGCAACTTCTATAAAGTCAGAGTTGCCCTATAGTAATCACTCTTTTGCCCATTGGCTTTCTATCTATCCACAATTTTCTTGTTCTGTTTTTTTAGCTCTATTGGGCAGAGACCATTAGAGCTTATTAGCTCACCTGAGCCAAAGGCTTAAGTGAGCTTTTCTGATCAAAATGTGTTTGTCCTCTTTCGTCGTTGGTGTCATCATAAACTTTTCACAATTTATCTTCTTCTCCAAATCTTCTTGGCCAATTTCAACCAAACTTGGCACAGAGTATCCTTGGGTAATGGGTATAAATAGGAAAGATCTTTAAAAATCTTCTTCTCAAGAATAAGAAAGCCATTGTTAATCATATTTATATGGAAGCATCCTCATGTAGTGTAGATTCAAGTTTGTCCAAATCATGAACCCTGGGGATAGGTAGGGGCCACTATGGACAATCAATCTTTTATATAGAAATACATACTGTATATAGTTTCCAAATATACTTTGATGATCTTGACCTTGAATTTTGACCTAATTCTAAAAAAAATAACATTAATTATAACTTTTGAATAAAAAAAGATAGGGCATCATATTTGACATGTGCATTACCTTACCTGTGATAAGATGTTTCTGAACATGCTATGATATTTGACCCCGTGACCTTGACATTGAAGTTTGACCTAATTTTCAAACATAAGAGATATCTTTTGATTGAGAGAAGATAGGGCGTTCATATTTCACAAGTGTATTACCTGTGATAAGACATTTCCGAATATGCTATGATATTTGACTCATTGACCTTGACCTTCAAATTGGACCTAATTTTCAAAAATTTTATCATTGCTGATAACTTTTGAGGGAGAGAAGATAGGACTTTCATAATCGATATGTACATTACCTGTGACAAGACGTTTCCAATTGTACTATAATATTTAATCCTGTGGCCCTGAAGTTTGACCTAATTATCAAAAATTTTAATATTACTGATAACATTTGAATGAGAGAAGATAGGGTATTTATATTTGACATGTACATTACAACATGCCATAAATGCCATAAATAATTACTTCCTAACCACTAAGACCACAATTCTGATGACCTTGATCTTGAAGCAGGGGACCACAATTCCGTGAATTTGCTTTTTTGACATTAATTTAACTGTTGCTATTTTGGATCTTCAAAAACCTAGTAGGTGGTCGTAAATATGTTCATTTGAAAAGCGATTTATGGTTCATTATTCATACTTGCTATATCCACTTTGACATTTACTTGTTTTTATTTTATAATTTATTGAAAACCCTACAATTTATTGTCTTTCTGTAGGATATTAAGGCCTTTGCATAAATACAAGGATACTTGATATTTTTTACAATCAGTTAGATAAAAACATTTTTTAAGGGAATATATCCTACAGTAGTTGCTTAATGTTAAATACTCTTCCTCATAAATTTAAATTTCATTTTTCTTTATCAAGATATCATATTCTCATTTCTCTAACCACATCTTCAGATACATATCCCTCTGCAAGCCCTTGCTGACTTGTCAGCTTTTTAGCTCACCTGAGCTGAAAGCTCAAGTGAGCTTTTCTGATCACATTTTGTCTGTAGTCCGTCTGTCTGTCTGTCTGTCTGTCTGTAAACTTTTCACATTTTCGACTTCTTCTCCAGAACCACTGGGCCAATTTCAACCAAACTTGCCACAAAGCATCCTTGGGTGAAGGGGATTCAAGTTTGTTCAAATGAAGGGCCACACCCTCTTTCAAGGGGAGATAATTAAGAATTAGTGAAAAATGAATAGCATCTTTAAAAAATCTTCTTCTCAAGAACCACAGGGCCAGGAAAGATGAAACTCATATGGAAGCATCCCCAGGTAGTGTAGATTCAAGTTTGTTCAAATCATGACCCCCGGGGGTAGGGCGGGGCCACAATGGAGGATCAAAGTTTTACATAGAAATATATAGGAAAAATCTTTAAAAATCTTCTTCTCAAGAGCAGTAAAGCTATGAAGAGCCATATTTATATGGATGCATCCTCAGGAAGTGTAGATTCAAATTTGTTCAAATCATGACCCCCGGGGGTAGGGCGGGGCCACAATGGAGGATCCAAATTTTACATAGAAATATATAGGAAAAATCTTTAAAAATCTTCTTCTAAAGAAAAGTAAAGCCATGAAGAGTCATATTTATACAGAAGCATCCTCAGGAAGTGTAGATTCAAGTTTGTTCAAATCATGGCTCCCGGGGGTAGGGCGGGGCCACAATGGAGGATCCAAATTTTACTTAGAAATATATAGGAAAAATCTTTAAAAATCTTCTTTTCAAGAACAGTAAAGTCATGAAGAGTCATATTTATATGGAAGCATCCTCAGGAAGTGTAGATTCAATTTTGTTCAAATCATGGCTCCCGGGGGTAGGGCGGGGCCACAATGGAGGATCAAAGTTTTACATAGAAATATATAGGAAAAATCTTCTTCTCAAGAACAGTAAAGCCATGAAGAGTCATATTTATATGGAAGCATCCCCAGGTAGTGTAGATTCAAGTTTGTTCAAATCATGACCCCCGGGGGTAGGGCGGGGCCACAATGGAGGATCAAAGTTTTACATAGAAATATATAGGAAAAATCTTTAAAAATCTTCTTCTCAAGAGCAGTAAAGCCATGAAGAGCCATATTTATATGGAAGCATCCTCAGGAAGTGTAGATTCAATTTTGTTCAAATCATGACCCCCGGGGGTAGGGCGGGGCCACAATGGAGGATCAAAATTTTACATAGAAATATATAGGAAAAATCTTTAAAAATCTTCTTCTCAAGAACAGTAAAGCCATGAAGAGTCATATTTATACGGAAGCATCCTCAGGTAGTGTAGATTCAAGTTTGTTCAAATCATGACCCCCGGGGGTAGGGCGGGGCCACAATGGAGGATCCAAATTTTACATAGAAATATATAGGAAAAATCTTTAAAAATCTTCTTTTCAAGAACAGTAAAGTCATGAAGAGTCATATTTATATGGAAGCATCCTCAGGAAGTGTAGATTCAATTTTGTTCAAATCATGGCTCCCGGGGGTAGGGCGGGGCCACAATGGAGGATCCAAATTTTACTTAGAAATATATAGGAAAAATCTTTAAAAATCTTCTTTTCAAGAACAGTAAAGTCATGAAGAGTCATATTTATATGGAAGCATCCTCAGGAAGTGTAGATTCAATTTTGTTCAAATCATGGCTCCCGGGGGTAGGGCGGGGCCACAATAGAGGATCAAAGTTTTACATAGAAAAATATAGGAAAAATCTTCTTCTCAAGAACAGCAAAGCCATGATGAGTCAAATTTATATGGAAGCATCCTAAGGTAGTGAAGATTCAATTTTGTTCAAATGATGACCCCTGGGGGTAGGGTGGGGCCCAATGGGGGATCGAAAGTTTTACATAAGAACATATAGAAAAAAAATTTCTTCTCAAGAACAGAAAAGCTATGTTAGTCTTATTGATATGGAAGCATCCTCGGGTAATGTAGATTCAAGTTTGTTCAAATGATGACCTCTGAGATAGGGAGGAGCTACAACTGGGGATCAAATTTTTACAAAGGAATAAATGGGAAAATTCTTTTAAAATCTTCTCAAGTACAACAAATTCATTTGTTATATTGACATGAAAGCATCATCAGGTAGTTTAAAATTCAAGCCCCCCCCCCCCCCCCCCCCCCCCCCCCGGTCATTACTGAACTGATTTGTGCCTTAGTCTAGCCAGTGTGCTCAGGTGAGCGATGTGGCCCATGGGCCTCTTGTTTTTCACATGTTTATTTCAGGATAAATTAAGCAATGTCAAGTCATAATAAAAGGTGACTGAAAGTAAACTGTTGAATGTCAAACATTATCTGATTTTTCCTTTTAAAAATTCATTGATATCATTTTAGGGTAACCCACACCTACACAGTGCAGTCAAACACTGGAGGATTGGCCTCACCCCCACAGGAGTCAGTTAATGAAACAGACAAAAAATTGATGCCCCCTCCAGCTCTACCTACAGGTAACAATTACCTTCAGTATTACCTGAACCAAAGGCTTGTTTAATCATTGCTGAAAAGCTTGTCTGTGTGTAGTCTCTTAATTTTCACATGCTACAGAACTGTGGAACCAATTTTTAACACAACCTGGCACAAAGCATCCTTGGGTTAAGGGAATTCACTTCTGGTCAGTGAAAGGGTTATACTTTCTACCCAAGAGGAAATATTTAATCAAATAATAATGTCAGAATTCTTCATCTCTAAATTAAAACTACTAGGCTTGAAAACATAAAATTCACAGGAAAGCCTTCTTATGTAGTGTAGATTCAGACTTAGTGCAATCATGATCCCTAAGGGCTATTATGGAGCCACATTAGGGGGTTAAAGTTTTAAAACTACATATGAAAGAAAAGTATTTGAAATTGTTCTGAAGAAGAACAGAAGGATCACAATTGATCAAAGTGTAATGGAATCATTCTCAGTTTAAATCCTGGTCCACTAGTCTTGGATAAAGCCACAAAAAGAGTTTAGAGTATTACACAGGGAGATATATGGATCATTTACAAACTCTTCTCTGACAAGAATGGGAAAACTTTATTAGGTCAGATTATGTTTACAACCATCCTTGAATGACCTAGCTTTAAACTTGTCAAATCAAGGCCCTCAAAGCTAGGTCAAGGGCAGAACAAAAGAGTTTTTATTTTACAAGCATCCCTTTCCAGCCCCTAGAGTAGAATAATTATGTACATTTGCAAATATTCATGGAACCTATTGAAAGCAAAAATGTTCTTTCTCAAGAGGTCATATAACATGACACAGGTCAAAGCTTTATGCATTGTACAGACTACAGTTGAACAGCTGGTTGGTATATTTCTGTTAGAATGTTATACATGTAAATGTACATGTAAAAGTAATAAATAACAAATAATTAACAATGTTATAAAGTTTGCTGAAAAATCAACTTGATTGGTACATGTTCAAATCTATTGAAAAGTCCTTTAGGCTTCACAGACCTATTAAGCTCATTCCTCAGTGAACTTTTTAACATTTACATGTATTTAAGAAATAAAGTTTGTGGTTTTGTGAATGTTGCATGATAACCTCCGAGGTTGAGAAATGTTGTTTTGAAATATAAAAGCTGAGGCATTAGCAGCTCTAAAATACAGCTGATTGTTTATTCTATAGAGAAATGAATTAGGTCACCATGTCACAATTAGGCTGTTCCATTTATAACACCAGAGGGTCAACTTGTTTGTTTACTTGTGTATCAATTGCAATGGAATGCAGACAATGGGAGCTTTCATTGGATTAAAAATATCCTTTAATCATTTATAAATTTGTTTGTACCATATATTGATTAATTTTTATGAATGTAAAATAGGGAAATCAGTGGTCTATTTTATTGCTTTATCAGTGAAATCACAGAGTGTAAATATTGTGGGGAGGTCCGAGGAACAGCCCCATTTAGCTATAAAAATCAACATTTATCAGCTTCTTTAGGAAATACAAATTGTTTAGACTGCAGAAGATGGCACATTGATATGGTCTAATTAATTATTAGATTCTAAAGTGAAGTATTAATTTCGCATCTACAACTTTATATGTGTTTCTGATTTGATAATTTTTTGATGACATTTGTGATTTATTCTTGATTTATTGGAGAATAATGTAGTAGAATTCTAAAGTCCATATAGTAAAGAACCAAGTTTTTTCACCTTTTTCCATTTACCCCATTTGTTAGTTGGGACCACGGAAAGATTTGAAATTTGACAAAGGAATGTATAGATGTGGCAGAGAAAATATTTTTAAACATTCTTTTCACCAGAAGGGTCATAGAAAAACTGATATGAAAACATACTGTTTAGTGTAGTTCAATAATGTTCAAATCCAGAGAATTATAAAGAAAAATTATAATTAAAGAACAAGAGGCCCAAGGGCCTTAACGGTCACCTGAGTATAATACAACAATTTAGAGGATCCATAGAGTATAAAATGAACTGAAAGGTGAAGCTTTGTTGCCCAAAAGCAGGAAAAATAGGGTGATCAGGATCAACAAAATAATTAATCTAGTATTCATTGACAGTTTATAAATAAGGTTCTAATCTGTTCCCCGTTTATCACTATCACTATAAAGTATATTAAAAAACTATCAGTGCTTCTGTACTATTTTAATTCCTTGTTCAAATCTCTTACATTGGCCTCTCTTGGTCTTTGATGAACATTTAATAAGACAAGTTATTTTTGTTCCATTTTTATTTATCTATTACTTACAAGTCTACCTGATCATTAAAACTATGAAAATACTTTTTGTATTATATAATAAAAATTCTTGCATAATTCTCTTATTCTATTAACCTTTCAAGTACATTGTTTACAGTGATTAATTATCAAAAGTAAATGGCAAAGGGGAATAACTCCTCTCAGTAGAATACAAATTAATAGAGCCCTGGCCAGGACCAGAACACTTGACCAAATGGTCCAGATGTTCAAAAATCTGGTAAAAATACCCTTCCTTATTAAAACTTTTAATCTTTTTGTCTCTGATATGCCCAAGTGAAAAGTTTTTAAAGGAATAATGCATTTTTACTACAGATTCACTATATCAATCAATAGAGCCCCCTCCCCACCGAGAAACACTAGAGTCTCTCACCCTGGGACCAGAAGTTTGCTCATCATAAGTAATCACTTTGTTTATCTGCTTAACACTAAGGAGCAGACAGAATTATTTAATAGAATTAATGCATTTTCAATATATTATCAAGAGCCCCACCCTTACACCAGCACATCTGACCGGGATCATGCAATTCACTTCTCTGGAAGAAGCACTCTTGCTCATTATAACTATATACTTAGATTCTTTGCTTTTTAACCAGAAGCAGAAAAGAATATTTTCAAAGAAATGTTGCTTTTTCACTATATAATCAATAGAGCCCCCCCCCCCCCCCCCACCTTTTCACTAGAACCCTTGACCCTGGGGCCATAATATTCACAATTTTGGAAGAGGCATCCTTGCGTTTCATAACAATGTACTTAGTTTGTTTAAATAGTACCCAGGGGCAGAGAAGATTTTCAAAGAAAAAATTCACCTTCACTATAGGATCTATATAGCCCCACCCTAGAACCAGAACCCCTGACCCTGGGGCCATGAATTTCACAATTTTGGAAGAGGCATCATGTCTTATCATAACAATGTACTTACTAGTTTGTTTCAAAAATACCCAGGAGCAGAGAAAAAGATTTTTAAAGCATTAATGCATTTTCACTATATATAAATAAATAGAGCCCGGCCCCAATATCAGAACCCCTGATCCAGGGGTCATGAAATTCACTACCCTTGCTTATCATAACTATGTATTTAATTTGTTTAAATAATACCCATAAGTAGAGAGGAAGATTTTCAAAGAAATAATGCACTTTCACTATATGATCTATATAGACCCCCCCCCCCCCAGCAACAGAACCCCTGACCCTGGGGCTATGAATTTCACAATTTTGTTAGAGTCACTCTTGCTTATTATAACTATGTATTTAATTTGTTTCAATAATACCCAAGAGTAGAGAAGAAGATTTTCAAAGAAATAATACACTTTCACAATATGATCTGTATAGCCCTGCCCTAGCATCAGAACCACCGACCCAGGGGCCATGTATTTCACAATTTTGGTAGAGTCACCCTTGCTTATCATAACTATGTATTCAATTTATTTCAATAATACCCAGGAGTAGAGAGGAAGATTTTCAAAGAAATGATGCACTTTCACCATATGATCTATATCCCCCCCCCCCTCCCAGCAACAGAACCCCTGACCCTGGGGCTATAAATTTCACAATTTTGGTAGAGTCACTCTTGCTTATCATAACTATGTATTTAATTTGTTTCAATAATACCCAAGAGTAGAGAAGAAGATTTTCAAAGAAATAATGCACTTTCACTATATGATCTATGTAGCCCCGCCCTAGCACCAGAGCCACTGACCCTTGGGCCATGAATTTCACAATTTTGGTAGAGTCAGTCTTGTTTATCATGACTATGTATTCAATTTATTTCAATAATACCCAGGAGTAGAGAGGAAGATTTTCAAAGAAATGATGCACTTTCACCATATGATCTATATCCCCCCCCAGCAACAGAACCCCTGACCCTGGGGCTATGAATTTCACAATTTTGGTAGAGTCACTCTTGCTTATCATAACTATGTCTTCAGTTTGTTTCAATAATACCCAAGAGTAGAGAAGAAGATTTCCAAAGAAACAATGCACTTTCACTATATGATCTATAAAGCCCCCCCCCCCCCAGGAACAGAACCCCTGACCCTGGGGCTATGAATTTCTCCATTTTGTTAGAGCCACTCTTGCTTATCATAACTATGTATTCAATTTGTTTCAATAATACACAGGAGTAGGGAAGAAGATTTCCAAAGAAATAATGCACTTCCACTATATGATCTATATAGCCCCGCCCTAGCACCAGAACCCCTGACCCTGGGGCCATGAATTTCACAATTTTGGTAGAGGGGTCAATGCTTATTACAATCATGCCAACAGTTTGACTGCTTGATGTCCAGGAGTAAAGAAGAAGATTTTTAAAGATTGCATTAATTTTGGTGTTTTAGCCCCACCCCTCAGGCCCCAGGGGGACAGGGACCATGATATTCACAAATTTTGTTCCCCTTCACACATAGATGCCATATGCTAAAATTTGCTGAAATTGGTTCAGCGGTTTCAGAGAAGAAGCTGAAAATGTTCAAATGTTAACACACGACGGACGACGACGGACGAAAACAGATAGCAATAGGTCACCTGAGTGACTCAGGTGACCTAAAAATAGAAATTTTGAAGTGATGAGCAGAATTTTTTACAAAAATTATTTAAAAATGTATTAAAAAAAAAAAAAAAAGAAAGTAAAATTGAAGTCCTTTTGTGAATCCAGTTGACATGGTAATCCTATAATTTTTGTAGGAGTTAAACGATCTGCATCTGACAGTTTGACAGAGTCACCAGAGAGGAAGAGCAGGAAAGGTAATTGAAGAAAAAGGCCACACCATTTTGTATGAAAATTATACCAGTATGTCAGTATGTCAATTTCAAGTTTGCTTAAACTTTCGAGGGGGTAGGGACAAAGTATATTTATTCCCTGAAGGTAAACACTTTTTCATATACCAGTGTTATCTATATACATGTAATTATAATTTTATAGAGTGTGTCAAAGGGGAGGGTTTGTGAAGCCAAAAAGTTTCTTAATGTTTTAAACTCACAATCCAACGATAATAGTAATAAAGACTTAATAAAGTCATCTTTGTTGTGTTCAATACAAAAGAATGAAATTAAATATACTGTGGAATCATTTTAATTCGTGGGGGTCAATGTTCGTGGACATGCAAAATTTTATTTGTTCGAGGGGACGTAATTTCGTGGGTTACTCGTTTATACGGTTAATTCAATTAATCAATATGTTTACAAAATAAACGTTCGTGGGGATGTAAATTTGTGGGTAAGGGTAACCTACGAAATCCACGAACATTGGTCCCCCACGAACAATGATGATTCCACAGTAACCAGAGACACCATTTGGCTTTTGTAATTTCACTTATTCTTTTTATTTTGGGTCCATACCACAATAAAAAAATGAATTATTTATTTATCAGGCTTCCATTCCTTGTTAGGAAAATAATGGTAAATTTTTCTTTTCCTTTTTTAACAGATAGTGATGATGAGGATGAAGAAGTAAAGTCCTCAATGAGACAGCAACATAAGGAGGCCAAAAAATACCAGTATAACCAATACTCCAGCACTCCCCAGCTGTATGGTCAGCCCCCACCACCAGAACAACTAACAACCTCTGTACAGTACAGAGGGGACACGTCTCCGGGGCATCAGTTTGAACAGGCCCAGCAGCCACCCCCACAATTTTTACCCCCAGGACAAGTGGTGTCACTTCCTCAGCCGACAGAGACCTCCCCAGGGTCAGAAAGTCTTGGCCAACCTGGGCTTCAACAACAGATCATCATACAGCAGCCCCCTCAGTTACCAGGCCATCCCCAGTCCCCTGCCTTCCAACAACCAATGTACTCTGCCTCTGGTTCTCATAGCCCTACACCTCCCCCTCCCTGGAATCCAGAACCACCTCCAGTGTCTGGTCCAAGTCCTGGGCCAGCACAGCCAATGCTGCCCCAGCAGATTACACTGAGTGCTCCCCACAGAGTGAATCCCCAAGAACAGAGACTCATGACTGAAGAACATAGAATATATGGTGAAGCAATACCTCCACCCCCTCCAAATTTCCAAGCAGGACCACCCCCTCCAGGGTCTACTCCTCAACTTATTGTTCCTCCTCATCTTCCTCCTCCAACACAAACAATAGTGTCAATTCCACAGTTTAATGGACAACCCCCTCCTTTCCCTGGCCAGCCCCCTCCACAGGGAGGATACCAGTATCCCACTGGCCCCCCTCTTACAATGTCCTATTGGTGATTCAGTACATTGTCCCTCTTGTAAGATATTGTTTGATAATTGGCTGCAGGTTCTTAGAACTTGTTGACACGTAAGTCTTAAAGTTCAGTGTATGCAAATCTTTTTATCAGTGCATGTAATAAATCAAAAACAATGAACTGTTAGTTGAAGACTGTTAGATTATAGCATGTTTGTACTGTGTGAAAGGTGCATTATGCCATTTTTTCATAATGACCAATAATTTTGTTAAATTGTTATGTGTCAGTGCTTTGCATTAATATGAATGATTTGTCATTAAATGACAAGAAAGGGAAAACTTGTTACTTTTTAATTACATTGTTTATATCAACATCTGCACTACAAATCAAGCTTAAGCAGGTTCACAAGGATGTCAGCCTGCAGGAGCATATCAAATAAAGGTAGGGGGTTAGTTTAAAATATATTTATTCATTACAAATGAAATGGATTGAACAGCAGGCATAATGCCTATAATCGTTCTCTCCATAGGTCAAGGTACATATAACAATTATTGGTACATTTAACATTGAAAACAGTATGTAAAATAGATCATTAATTGGTACATATATAAGGTGAATCCAGAGAAAGAGAGAGTGAAATAAAGAGAAAAAAAAAACATAATAAAGTACATTTAACATTGAAAAGCAGTATATAAAATAAACCATTAATTGGTACATGTATAAAGTGAATCCACAGAGGGTGAGAGAGAGAGAGAGAGAGAGTAAATAGAGACAGAGAAAGACCATAAAAAGAAAAAAAAAACCATAATAAAGTTGACTCAGAGTGGAAAAACTTCCTTAACATACCTAAAATGAGATATTATTCTTCTTAGCATATCATGATAAACTAAGATTTCAGTGAAAACCTCTTTGAGTTTCTTATAAAGGTATGTATATGATCAAAAAATGAAAAGTTGTCTTCTAAACATAAGGATTCAGCACCATATAGTATATTATCTATATTAATTGGTATGTCTTTCTCATTCATAAATTTAATCAGCATCTGTCTTTGAAGAACATATTGTGGGCAATACATGAAAAAATGTAATGAATCTTCAATTTGGTATCCACAATTTGTACATTTTGGTGAATCATTGAGGTGGTCTTTAAAAAGATCAGCATTAAGGTTACTACATTTATTTCTCAACTGGCAATGTATATTTTCAATTCTATTCCCATAATTGTACAACTTAACTTTATTTTTCTGGAAGGGATTGGTGTAGGTTAATCTTTTTTTGAAATTTTGCAATGTAGGGGAAGTTCTACAATCATCAGGTAAATTATTCCATAAGGATATTGTGGATGGTACAAAACTATTATAGTAAGACACTGTTCGAGTGATTGGGATGCGATATGAGTTTTGGTTGCGTAAATTATAATTATGCTGAATTGGCATACATCCTTTGAGCATATTATACATGTAATCAGGGGTAAGGTTATTAAGAATTTTATACATCAGTGTGAGCTTATGCTTTTCCCTTCTTGAACTTAAGGTTTCCCATCCCAACTCATAATATAGGTTAGTTTTTGATGTATTGCACCTAATACCTGTAATTATTCTTGCAGCTTCCACCTGAACACTTTCCAGTAATTTGGATTGTTCTTCAGTGCAATTATCCCATACCACATCCCCATATTCTACAACTGGTCGAACAAATGAAAGATATATTTTGATTAACAAGTCCCTTTTTAATTTATATTTAAGTGTACGCAATATATTTAGTCGTAAGCAAGCTTTCTCATAAATTGTTGTAATATGTTCGGACCACCCCCCATTAGACTGTAATGTCAGCCCTAGATGACAGTGACTTTGATTCTGAGAAATAATATTCATTGTGTTCCCAAATGAGATATTTGGGTGTATTCGTTGAGTTTTGGTAAAATTAACATTTACTGTCTTCACAGGGTTAAATTCAACTAGCCATTGATGAGACCATTGCCTTATTTTTTCAAGATCATCAGTAAGAGATACTGCTGGGCTGACTGTGTCAGCATCTACAATAACAAACAAGGTAGGGGGTTGAGGGCTGTCTCGAAGGCATCATTAGGTCCAGGGCAAAACCCTAGTGGGGACCCATCTGGTGAATTTCAACATTTCTCACAGCTAAGTTTGATTGCTCAGAAAGGGAGATTTAAAAGAAATGGTTTGATTTTCAACATTTTTAAATGCTGATTTTATTATGACATAATATCTAGGGTGGGGTATGACGAATTTTCAGTTTTTCTGACAGGTAAATTTGAGTATCTAAAAAAGCTTGATAAACTTCAATTATTTAAAATCGCTCTTCATTTCTGTCAATGAGCACGATAGGCCAGGGGCAGGCCCGTAGCAACGGTTTCAAAAGGGGGAGGGGGACAACTTCCCAAAACAATATCTGACGAGCAAAAAAAAAAAAACAAACTGGAATTTGCCAGTCCTCGTCCTTACTGCAACAAAAGGTGGGGGCCAACCAGCATATAAAGGAAAATTGACAACAGTAAAATACTATACTAAGAAAAAGTGGGGGGGGGGGGGGGCTCCCCCCCCCCCCGAATTCTACTGGCCTGAGGAGTTTGTGTGAGGGAGAAACGGATCAGAAACCCTTGGTTAGCACCCAAGAAACCGGGGATTTTCAGGCAGCTTATTTTGAGTGTCCAGAAAAGTGGATATACAGAAAAGCTTCAATTTCTAAGTTTAAAATGCAGATTTCGTCATGGATTTTTTGATAAAGTAGAATAAGGATGGTACGTGTTATGATGGGATCTGATTTCAATCAAAGTCTATCTTAAGCCCTACATGCATATTAAGATTATGTTCTGATGCTCTTATTTTCTTACATGATTGTTCTTTGAGCCAAGTACACAAAGTAGAGAAAAATGGGAATCTCATCCATATTATATATGAAAATAGATATGTTATTAAGAGTGTATTGCTATGTAAATGTAGATAATATTAACATAAAAAGATGAGAAAATATATTTATCGTTTAAACAAAGAAAAATACATGTCCTTTTTTTAAATTTTTTTTTATTCAAATTTTTCTACTCTTTTTTTTAATTTATTATAATTTATTTTTAAATATCTTTATTTTGAAAATGATATGTAGTTATTTTCAGTGCACCTCTTTTTGTATTCTTCAAAATCGTTTCGGAGCGGATCCACTCTAATTTGCAATTCTAACTGTGGTGAGGGCCTGTACCGAAACAGATTATTCTAACTACCGGTATTTGTAGGTACGCCGTCTTGTATTTTTGGTTGTGTAAAACATCAATTGGGACTGAATTTTATTACTACTGTCTAATACGATGAATAAGAGACACGATATATATACAAACGATTTATTGATTAACCCTGATGTCTATACTCATGGAAGTGAATAATCTTATTTCTTATCATTTTATCAAGAATAAACAGATGTTCGTCCGTTTCTTCTGGTATATGTTTCCGAATATAATCTGCTAACTTGGTAATGTATTCGGAGTTAGGTCCGGCGCTTCCATGTGCGTGCACTACCGTGTCAGCGATATATTGCAAGTCCTTTTCCTCATCTCCAGAGGAGGGGCCCACGTATAGTGGATTCTTTTCTGTTGCTTGATACAATAAAACGTCACAAGGATTGGTGGAATTTTTGTTGTAGAATTTCGTAGTAACTGTCACATAACTACCAAGTATTTTTTCCCTTACACTTAATTTTTCTAGGACTTCTGTCACTTTTTTAGCCCCCTTCACTGTATACTTCACTCCCCAGAGGCATTTCTGTAAAGAACGCAGATCTGTGAATACTGATTGGTGGAAAATGTAAACAGTTGCTATTTTTAGACAAACGCATGTGCTGCGTAGAATGATGCAATAATTTTTATCTTACCTGATTTCCTGCTTTAATCAAAGTAGCGACTCTTCCTGGCTATTAAAATCATAAATACGTTAAAAAAATATATGATTAGTTTATTACACACTGGATTATACCAAACATACATGCAATTAATATATATAATTATAATATGCGAAATTAATTCCAGATTCGTGTTGCTAAACTAATTCCATTGATTCGTGTTGAAAATTAGAGTCGTAGACTTTTAATTCGTGGTTAAAATTTCGAGAAATGTCTTACCCCCTACTAAGCATTGTTGTAATGGGAAAAAGGTTAGATCGGAGTATAAGTTTGATACAAATTAATAGCCCTACCTTCTCTTTCGTGCCTCTCTGCTCGGTGTTATTTTGCCAAAATCTTCTTTGATATCCACGAATATATCCATGTTCCTTTGTAGAATATTTAAAATCAGGTTTCCATATTAGAGAACCATAACCAAAGACATGAAGTTCTTCCATATTCTTTACGTATTACAATAACGATTCTATTTACGCAGTGTAAATGTGGTGTAAACACTGGTAAACAGTTTATGGTTCCCTTTATATGTGCACACTCCTATGCCTGACTGAGCGCACGTAACAACAAGATGATGCAACCTAATAATTTTCTGCCCGTTTTTCATTGATTAAAAAGCTGTTATCTGTTATGTGAATAAACATCTATGTAAAGGTTTTTGTTCGTTTCTGTTTATTTCTCACTGTTAATATACAGCTGAATATTGGTTGTGCTAAGTAAAAAATTTATACATTTTTCCCGTAATTCGATATCTTGTGCACGCTGAAATGTGTTTTTGAAAAAAAAAAATCTCATTGGTCTCTTTCTATATCTCATTTCATCAGCATTCGGGTTATGATTTTTTTTATTTGTAAATATAACGTTAAAACACCGAAAAACTGATAACATTTCACAGCTGTTTCAAGGTATCACACAAGACTATTTTCTTTTAAGTGTAACTTTCCTGTCAATATACTTAATTATTGCATCATTTTATCAAATATGGTATATTCATTAATATTATATTCAAGGAACAATTTCCTTAATTATAGGAGGGGAGCTGGAATAACCCGTAAGGGTACGAACAAAAATAAATAAATAAATAAATAAATAAATAAATAAATAAACAAATAATCTGACGACCAGTAATGAGAGATATACACGTTAACTTATTCACATAGTGTACACGTATTTAATATAAAGTAATCTCTCTCTCTCTCTCTCTCTCTCTAGCTCTCTCTCTCTCCTTATGATTATAAATCAGTTCTTACAGTTATGGGCATAAATTAATAAGATGTAAGCTTTTTAAAACTTAATTATTCGTCGCCCTTTTGTTCCGATGAATAGATGACCGACTTCAGATTAAAGTTCAAAGTTCATGTACCGATAGTTCATTTACTCTTGTTATTAATTCTAATGAGGAAAAAATCCCTTTCAAATTTCTAGTATCAGTTGTTTTAAAAAAAATTAGAATTATAATGCAAATCTACCGTGCATTTAATTCATATTATGCATTCGAGCAAATAAAGCGTATTCGTAAAAGTAGATTATTAAAAAATTTCTGTCAATGCCTTCCACTTATGATATTTAAAATTAGTAGTGGCTTGGTTTGAAGCAAAGTTGTGAAGAAATAAAACTTCGACAGATTCAGAGAGAGAGAGAGAGAGATAAATTACAACTGGTAAACAAGTCAGTTGTTTCCCTGGAGAGGATTTTTCCCATTTTAAGAATCTTCACCCTTTTTTTTAGCACAAGAATGAAGTTCACAAAATATATTCACCACCCACCCCTCTCACTATTCAGCTTTTTATTACACAGGTAAGCTGAGTGGTCTATCGGTCCTGTTTGTGTCACTGTAGTAGGTAAATACAATATTCAGGCCAAGGATAATTGGCTTTTCACATTGCGCAGTAGAATTTTGCGTTGTTCAAGTCATAAGCTACCACAGTTATTGCCACGAAAGATAAAAAAATTTAAGTACCAGGTACATTTTGTTTTCATTTTCCTATAAACTTAAGTAGAAGATCGAGGGGGTGGAGTTGGGGGTCAGACTCCCTAAAATTTTCAGAGTTATTAAAATCTTCATGTATATAGTAAAATGACCATTAAAAAGAAGTCGGGCATCCACATACATGTATATTTGAAGGCTTCTGCACCCCTTCCAAGTAATAGTGGACAGAACCCTTTATTTTTGTCTGTTAAATTAATCTGAGTCGATTTTTAGCTCTACTGGTCAGAGACCAGGCCCCAGGATCATGAAACATCTTAAGCTTAAATCAAAAACTGTATATTCCACTAAAATGATTTAGAAATGTAGCAGTCTAAAATGAAAATGTTTTTTTCACTTTGCAGCAATAAACTACTGTTGCATGCAAATTATGATTCACAATTTTGATTCACAAGTTATAAATATTTTATGGACGACTGAAATTTTGACTTAAGTCTAAGTCTGTTTCATGATCCTGGGGCCAGAAGAGCTAAATGCGATAGTAAGGTGTCCGTCCGTCTGTCAAAACGCTACTCCTCCTACAGTTTTAGTCTGATTTCAATATAACTTGGCACATAAGTAGACTACACTAAGATACATAATTCTGTGTATCGGTTTTTGATTTCAATGAACGGTGTTGCCATGGATACTAAAAATAGAATTTTTCTTGAAATACTTTCAAAACGCTACTCCTCCCACACTTTTTGTCTGATTTCAGTATAACTTGGCATACAAATAGACTACACTGAGACACATAATTGTCGTATTTGTTTTTTGATTTTGTGGAATGGTGTTACAATGGTTACTAAAATCGAAATTTCTGTAAAATTGTTTTAAAAGGCTACTCCTCCTACAGTTTTAGTCTGATTGCAATAAATCTTACCACAGAAAGAGGCTAAATCATGGATCATATTCTATTTATTGCTGTTGCAAAGTTTCAAGTCCAAGTGATACTTTTATCTTCCATTATAAGTACAACCAGTAGAGCTACAGTCTCGTCAGAGACGTCTGGTTTGAGTGGGTATGGACCCCCGCCCCCTTTGGAAAAATTCCTGGATCCGCTTTTATAAAACATGCACGCAACAACCTGAACAAAAAAGGGGGGGGGGTCTGCTTTGACAACTTACAAAGATCACAGCAATTTGCATTTTTTACATTTTGCATCAGGATCAAAGAAAAACATAACGACGGAAAATATAATACATTTGGAAAAAGAGCAATAGATTTATTAAGAAATATTTCTGGACACTGGACAGCATGTATATTTCCAAGATTCCAGTAAAAAAAGCATTCATTTGGGGAGATAACAACGATTATTAAATGTAATAATCAGTTTATTGCCACATAGTAACGACTTTGATTTGTTTGAACGTTGGGAAACATAATTTGTTCAATCGACGAATAATTTCAATAGCTGACACCACAAAAATGGATTACATTTTGTTGATATTGACGCAGAATGTAACAAGGCAAAATGTAACCATTATTTATCACATTTTGCATCGTTTTTACATTTGAGTGGGTCTTCATTCCCAAGCTTTAGTTAACGGAAAAAATCTACATTTTTAACTTATTTGAAAGAATCATTTATGGATACTTTCAAGAAAAAGGAGCGAGTACCCACTCACATGGAAAGTTGAATTAGTGAATTTTGCTTACTTTGGTGCGCACATGCTTTTCTATAGAAGTATTCATGTATTGAGACTGTGGCATATTTAATCTTAAAGGGGTCCGGACACATGCAGTTGCATTGTTTACATTTTAAATTTCTATGTTTATTCCAAAAATAAAACGAGTTAAATGAATTGAACTTACATGAATGTTCTTAGAATTCAATGACAACATCATTCTTTACACCACATTCAACATCTATTTTTGTGAAAAGGGGCATGAGCTCTGTTATTGTTAAAGAGACAGTACGGTGCATCTCATAAAAACAGACTTGATAAAGTTTTCCGATAGGATTTGGAATATTTTTTTTACATGTATAAACTTTCGGAAAATTACAAGCTTCATACTTAAATATTTTTTAGCTCTTCTGAGCCAAAGGCTCAAAGAGCTAATGCTATGGCCATTTGTGCGGTGTGCGTAAACTTTTTAGAATATGGGCCATAACTTAAGAACCCCTTGGCCAATTATTGTCAAATTTGTCACAGGATATCCTTGGTCCAAGGGCTCCCTTTTATACTAAAACTAGGGTTGTGACCCTTTAACAAGGGGAGATAATTAGGAAAATGGAAACAAAAGTACTGGTTGCTAAAAAATCTTCTTCTCAAGAACCACTGGGCAGATTATCACCAAACTTACACAAAAGGTAAATTAAAATTTGCACGGGGATTTACCCTGGGGCAAAGGGCGTGGTCTCAAGGTCACTTCAAAGTTGACCAAAAATGACATTTTATTAAAATGTTGATATTTTGCTTACTATAACGACTAGGATCATCAAATCTTGTCAGTTGATGCATCTAAGGACCTCATATCATGTTGACTCAAAAGTAGGTCACGATGACCTACTTTTTAAATTTTGCGGCCATTCTTTTTCAAAATGATTTAGAGGCATATTTTGAACAATTTAAGGTCTACGATCATCAAACTTTGTCAGTTGATGCATCTTGGGTCCTAGAAGTACGTCAACTAAAAAGTAGGTCACCTTGACCTACTTTTTGAATTTTATGGCTAATCTTTTTCAAAACAATTAAGGTCTTTAATTCGAAAACTGAGAGGTTTAGAATCATTAAATCTTGTAAGATGATGCATCTTGGGGCCATAAAACATATTTATATTTATTAAAAAGTAGGTCACAGTGACCTACTTTTTGAACTTTGCAGGCATTCGATTTCAAAGCGTTTTAGAGGCATAATTTGGACATTTTAAAGCCTATGATCATAAAACTTTGTAAGTTGATGCATCTTGGGTCCTCAAAAAACGTGGACTAAAAAGTAGGTCACCGTGACCTACTTTTGGAAATTTTATGGCTTTAATTAAATATTTCAGGTACTAATTGGCTTAGAATCATCAAACTTTGTCAGTTGATGCATCTTGGGTCTTCGGAGTAGGTCGACTGATAAGTAGGTCACCGTGACCTACTTTTGAAAATTTATGGCTTTAATTAAATATTTCAGGTACTAATTGCCTTAGAATCATCAAACTTTGTCAGTTGGTGCATCCTGGGTCTTCGGAGTAGGTCGACTGAAGAGTAGGTCACCGTGACCTACTTTTTAAAATTTATGGCTTTAATTAAATATTTCAGGTACCAATTGGCTTAGAATCATCAAACTTTGTCAGTTGATGCATCTTGGGTCCTTGGAGTACAACAACTGAAAAGTAGGTCACTTTGACCTTATTATAAAATTTTATAATTATAATTTTAAAAAATATTTTAGGTATTAATTGGCTTAGAATCATCAAACTTAGTTGATGGGTCCTCAGAGAATGACAAGTGATAAGTAGGTCACCTGACCAACTCTCTGGTACTAGTTGGCTTAGAATCATCTTGGGTTCTCAGAATGTGAATTGGAATTTCAAGGGTGTATCTAAATATACAGGATACTTAGAGGTTTCAAATAGAAGTGATAGGTTGTACAGTTTATCAGAAGAGCGATTCAAGGCCCTTGGGCCTCTTGTTATTATTGCATTAAAATTAATAATTATTTATGGACCATAAATATATACATCGCAAAGTGTTAGGGGCCCCATATTCCATGCTATTCGATCATGCGTACTTATCATAGAAGAAATAGCATGGTAAAATGTGGTCGTCCAGTAGGCCGGCTACCTTGACAAAGTCAACAAAGAAGAAGAAGAAAAAAAAAATGAAAATAGAGCTTGAAAGACGAACTTGTTGACCAAATTTGCTCACAAAGGTTCACCTCGAAAGGTTTGTTGATACGTGTTATCATTTCTCATTTCTCCATCGCTTTCAAAGAAAAAAAAGCAGTGTTAACTCAACAGAAAAATACACCTATGATATATAAATATTATTGCTATTTAAAGTGTAAATTTTTAAGGAACTGTCCTGAAAATATTTCTGACGTTTTGCCTCGATAACGTTCGATTTGGTGATTTTCCCTTCTCGGACCCCAGTTCACAAAACGTCAATATTTGTACATTTAATTCTTTCAAATTCATCTGAAAGGAGATCATAAAGTTCACGATTAATAATTTATCGGAAAATTTATATTTTGCTTTTAAGAATTGCTGTTTACCTCATATTCCATTATAATTGTAAACTCTACTGTTTAGGCATGTGTCATTCAGAATTCACGTGGTACAAATAAACAGATCTAAAATTGCTTCAGTTTGTACGACTCTTGGATTTCCAGCAGATTCTAATTACGTGGATTTTGTTTGAGAAGAACATTTTCATGTTCCTCAAACTGTTGACATCAACTTTATACCTTATTCTTAATGATATATTGGGTAAGTTTGACTGAAAAAAAACCCCACACGTTTTGCAGCCGTACTGTCGCATAAATGTTTATATTTTACCGGGTGTGTTCAACTTGTTAACTGATAAACTCTGCACACAACACTGATAGGGCTGGGACGATATATTGATTCTGTGTGGGGAGGATACTCATATCGATACGTATGAAGAAATATCGAAATATCGTTTTTTCTTTGTTTACTTAACATATTGGGTTCAATATATAAAATAAATATGCTAATTAAGGAATGAATTTAATAGCTACCCAATTTATACGGTATAAAGTGGGTTGGGGGAGTTTACGCTTTATAAACCGCGAGGCGGTTTATAAAAAAGCGTAAACTGTTCCAACCCACTTTATACCGTATAAATTGGGTAGCTATTAAATTCATTCCTTATAATTTAATTTTCATTCATTTAGTGTAAAAAAAATGATTACCCTGTAAAAAATGACTTCAAATTGTACAAAATTTAAATTTAACGTCAAGCGGATCGATACCTTTTTGACGCAAGTCATTGTGACGTAGGCAACCCAATTTATACGATATAAAGTTAATGTTTTATCCAATCAAATACCGCGTTATAACCAAAATCAAATTATATAAAAATATAAATATAAAATACATAATAATTTACATCACTTGTGTAAAATAATTTTGTTTTACAACAGATATACAACTTCTTTGTATAAATTATTCTCATTTGTGAAGAGATGTTTTGTTCATTTCCAAAAAAGATTTTGTAACCAATGAAACCTATCGTGATACATATCTTATCGTGGCTCAAATATCATATGTATCGATATAGAAAAAGTTGTATCGTCCCAGCCCTAATCACCGAGTACAGACTGACAATGCTGGTGAGTTGGTTTTGCTTTCTTACATTTCTAGTCTGAATTTTCTGGATTATAGATATTATGGGTCCGACAAAACGCATGTTGCCCTCGAACCCAGTCAATAAATGTAACATACACAGCAAAATTTCTACTATTCTTAAGTATTAAGGATAAAGTTTACTTAGTGGAAGGATATGTGTCGATCAAACGCGTCCCAAAATTCGTAGTTTTAATAATTTCAAGATAAAGAAGTTTTTGAACAAGCTTTTATTTTTTGTCCTTGTCAAATGCTCTAGCAACAAATGAGTCATGATACATAGAAAATTTGAGAAAATATTTACTTCAAATCTGTGTCCTGACCCCTTTAAAGGTTAAATTTTAATTCATTTTTCTTGGCTGATCGCCGATGTTCTGTATGTTATTTAGAAACAAAAACTTTTGTACCTAGAAAGCGAGCTTAAACAAAATAGGTTAAGTTAAACTTTAAGTTCAAAATTCATCAGGTATCTTCTGGGTTGAAAAACTAATTCTTGTAAAATCAAAACAAGCATGATTTAATGCAAAACAATTTATTCCATAAAATGTTGACATATGTCACAGAATGCTCGTGATGACAATTATAGAGGTGAACATTGGAGTTCAGAACTTAGAAAAAAAAACATAGTATATGCCTCCATACACAAAGTTTGTGAAGCTCAAGTTATTTACAAAAGTTACTGAGAAAATTAAAAACAAATCTACATTTGGCTTTGTAATTTAGGTTTGACTTTTGTGACAACTTGATGAATAATGACAAAAACCTCACAACTAACCAACACATTGACAAAGAAAGGGAAAAAAAGGGGGGCGTAGTGAAAGTTTAACCGTGTTGTAGATGGACATCACATGACACAAATCATGGGTCACTCTAACTACAGGCTTTTGAGATTATTAACCTGGTTAGATAAAAACAACTTGCACAAGGCGATAACAAAAAATATCACATTCATATCAATATCTTCTTTGTATAGGAATAATAGTTATGCATTCAAGCATATTCATTATGTTCATAAAACACATAACTGTGCTCATGTAAATTAATAAAAACAAATGTAAAATAACAAACATAAAAATTAAAATGGAATTAGTTATGGACGGATACCACATTTAAAATCACATCTTTCTACAGGAAAAAAACCAGTGGTGGTGTACTACGTTGGGAATAAATGAGTTAATCTATAGTGCATGTCAGACCAGCAGACAAATTGGTGTTTGATTTATAACCATTAATATAACAGTCATCTTTATGCATAATATTATCACAGTGTTTTGTCAAATAATACTGAGAATCTATAAGTTGATGCACCAAAATGAATTTCCTCTACATAGGTACAACATCAAATTCAACTGAAAGCTACAGTATGGGAATGTCAATCAAAAAATTATCGCAATTTGTATGGATCACAGACATAATGCTTCAATTTTACTTGTACCTCCTGAAATTCAAAGTAAAGGACCTTTTCAAGTCAGAACACTTGTATCAAATTTCTATTTTCACTGAAGGCTATTGGAATGGGTTTGAATATAAACATTGAAAAAATATACAAATTTTTCTGCATATCATTTATTAAGGGTAGAATCTCTATGAAATAATGATATGTAATGATAAATTTGAAAAAAAGGAGGTCTTTTTACCTATTCTTGGTGCTGATAATTGCATAATGGTATTGAAATTGTATGGAGATCATTATTTGATGGGAGATAGGAGGTATAGGAATCAATGACATCATTAGACACAATCATACCTTTACAATCTGTTAGCTTTGTTCACATCAAATAAAGAAATTTATCTACAAATACCATAGACTATATTTCTGCAGCTTGACTTGCATTTAACATGCATAAGTGTAAAATCTGTGCAATTTGACATAAATGTCCTAGCCATGGTGTAGAAATGACAACTGGTCAATATTTACTTACACTTGTGTTGAAACTGTCCCATGAAATAAAAAATACTTTCATACCAATCATGTCTCCAAATTTATATTTCTAGAGCAAAATAATAATTAATAAATAATAATGAACCCTTATTAAGATGGAAAAAAAGCTAGTATCCACAATGTTTTGTTCTTTATGTAAAAATGTTCAGTGAATGAAGCTTCCTATTTTAAAAATTCAACTTCAATAAAATAAAAGATGGACTTTTTTAATACCGATAAATGTGGAATACTAAAGTTATTCAAATCTTCCATACAAAAAATTTGATTTCTTTCAGATACAAGTAATGCTGCATGAAAAAAAAATGCATTCATAAAATCTTATTCTCTATGGGAAATTTGATATATTTTCCCATAAATCCTTATAATAACACATGTATTCTTTCATTCTGACACAAATACCCTAATTATTTTCTCAAGTCTTGACACAAACATAAACAAAGCAGTCACAAAAACCAATGTCTTCCTTTTATCAAGGGGAGACAATAATGACAATATCAATACTAAAAACAACATGAGAATACAAGCAAAGATGTCTTTCTTCTTTTTTTTTTTTTCGTTGAAACACAATTCAATAATATGATAATCTAGAACTGTCATGTTATCACATTTTGATCAATTTTTTGGCATCAGTGAGTTTTGACACAGTAATCTTAATAATATATATGTTAAAATCTGAATTCCCAGTTTGGGAACAGAATTAAAACCCATCTCCTGTTTGCAGCTATGGTCATGGGACTTATTATTAAATGCACTCCCAACCAAAATCACCTGATATAAAACAATCAGTACACACTGATTCAGTCAAAGCTTACAAAAGTTAAGTCAACCATTTTTGTAAAAAATACTGAATTTTATGCATTTCACACAGAGAGAAATGCCCTCCTATAGACACAAATGTAGCACTCTGAAGTTAACCTTACAGGCGCACATTTTTTGTTAATCTACTACAGTATTAGAATAAATTGCACCACATTTTCTCTTTCAATGATATCATAATTCCAACTCTTTATCAGAGCCTTTGGCTGGATAGATGGGACCCACTGCAGGAACCTGTAAAGTACTTTTGGATTTCCTTTGAGAATTTCCTGGTGTGGTCACTGTGGTTTGACTTTTGATACTGTGTCTACTTGTTGCACTACTCGGCCGAGACGAGCTGAAGAAATTGCTCAGAGCACTATTTAGACGTTTGCCAAGATTAGCAAGACTGGCCCCACGTGTTTTAGAGTTTTTCTCATTTTCATCTGCCTCTGCTTTTTGCATTGCCATCTTGGTAAGATTTCGGAGCTGCTTCTGAGTTTTGAATGTCCTCCAAGCATTCTGAAGTGTCTTAGCCGCTACATCTTCTTTCTTTTTCTGCATTGTACTTGAAGTTTTACTTGTGTTCACACGAGTTGGGAAGGTTTCCTGGAACTTTTCTTCCATTTGAGATTTCAGCTCTTTGAATTCCTCTGTTTCTTCTACACGACCTAACACATTTTTACATAAAGCAATCAACACATCTAAGCAGTGAATTTTGTCTCCTTCAACAATTGGAAGATCAAATGCCACTAAAGCAATTTCATTAGGCCTAGGTATGCCTAATGGTGGGTCTAAATCCCCCACAAAGTGAGAGAGATGTTCATATTTGATAAACTGAGTGGCTAAAGGATCATATTTTTCCCAAACCACATAAAATTCATCAAAGTCATCTTCAGTTATTCCAACTTCTTCTGCCTCATGGGCCTGATTAAAGTTCTCCAAAATAATAGCAATGTACATGTTAATCACCACTAAGAATATAATCAGAATGTAAGACACCATATAAAACACTCCAAACGCTGGAGATCCACAATCTCCTGTGGAATATTTAAATTTTTCACCCCCCTCTGGCCGAGTAGCATAATCAGGATCACAGTCTGGTGGCTGTAAATACATGGTCTCCAAAATGTCATTCCAACCAGCAGATGTTGAAAGACGGAGAAGTAACACAAAACTACTGGCAAAAGTCTGGAAATTCACAGTATCATCCAATGGAAGTTCAATCTTCATGTTTCCAAACAAAGACATGCCAATGATGGCATAGATATACATAATGAGACACAGCAGAGCTCCAATGTTGATAAGAGCTGGAAGGGAAATAATAAGGGCGAACAGAAGCTTCCGGATACCTTTAGCAGCCTTAATCAGTCTTAGAACCCTCCCTATCCTGAACACCCTAAACACGCGAAGCAATGTGGGGTTAAAGATGCTTGCAAGAAGATCTTCCAGTATGATACCTGCAAGAAAAGAAAAAAAAAATGATAAAGTGCTCTATTAAAATGTAAATGAAAGTCTCAAGTGCTGGTTTTTTGATGAAATTATGCAAAAAGAAAAATATTATTTCATTTGACAAATTATGAAAAAAATAAAGATGATTTTCTACAAAACAAGAACTGTTTAAACTTAAAAATATTACAATAATTTTTGTTTACCATAAGAAATATTTTCAATTTATTTGAGGAGATTAAAAGCATATATAGCACATCTAGAAAGTAAACAGCTAAATAAAGGAAAGCAAAAAATAAAAGATCCTCATTAAGATTCATTAAGATTCCTGTTTTGTAGATTTTATGCCAGTTCTGAAAACTAAAGCTATCAAAAAACAAAAACAAAACAAAACAAAACAAAACAAAAACAAAACATGATTTTGTGAAACACTGGTGTCCCTATATGGCAGCTCATTATTAAGGTTAAAGTCTTTCAAAATGTAGGTCAAACCCCTAGGTCAAGGTCATGAGATGAAAAATGTTGGTACCCAAAGAAAAATTTTGTCACAAGGAATAATTAAGTGAAATTTGAAAACGCCTAAGCACCAACTGTTCAGAAGTTAAAGCCAAGGTTGAAATTTTTCAAAAGTAGGTCAAACTTTAAGGTCAAGGTCAGGAGGTCAAAAATGTTGGTAGCAAAAAGAAAGGTCTAGTCATAAGAAATGCACATGTAAAATATGAAAGCCCTATTACAAAATGTTGAAAAGTTATGACCAAGGTAAAAGTTTGATTAAAGTTCTTAAAAGTATCAAACTCTAAGGTCAATGTCATAAGGTAAAAAAAAAAAATTGGTACCAAATGAAAGGTTTTATCACAAGGTTTACATATGTGAAATTTGAAAGCCCTAGCCCTAACCATTCAAAAGTTATGGCTAAGGTTAGAGTTTTCGTAGATAAACAGACAGACCAAAAACTTTGATTGCGGGGGATAAAAAAGGAAAGTTTCATGATTCAAAATCTGGATTATCCTATAAATTTGATATTAAAGTCTTGGGACTTGTCTTGTGAATGTGTCTCCAACACTACAGATAGGCTATAGATAGGGAAAAAGGAATTGCAATTAATGATTTGCAGAAAGACAAGAAATGTCTATAACAGAATATTAACATGTAGTTTGGACATTTGAAAGAATAGATGAAAATATGCAGTAGAAAGAATACAGAAAAGCAAATAATGTGCCACAAAAGCTTGCATTTGGATATGTGCAGTAGATAGTTCACAGGAGAGAAGATTTGCTATAGTGTTTTGAGCCAGGAAAAAAACAGAAAAAACAAGAGACTAACAGAGCTAAGCCAGGGGGTTAGAATTAATGCCTTCTTTACTTATTTCTTTGACTTTGCAATAACATTTACATTGGGGAAGAAAATAACATACAAAAATGTCATTTATAGTTTTCCAAAAATTATTTTCTACTAAACAAGCTTGTACAACATTGTTGTAAACTGGCGGATGGCATTTTTTGGTGTGGGTTTGCTTATACATTTTACTACAAAAATGTGCACGTCTACAAAATATAATCAGGTCACAATTCACTACCGGAGATATATTTTACCTGCTGCCTCGACTAATATTACTAAAGAATTACAAGAAAAATGATCAACACTCACGAACAAATTCCTTAATTGGCAAGCATTCAATTACTGGTACAATTTTTATAATATGTATCTTTTATTAATTCTGTATCTTTTTGTCATGCATGAAAGATCAACAAGCAAGAACTAGTTATGTAAGTTTATACATATTTACTATATTTTATGCAGATACTATGTGCTAAGCAAAATATGAACTTGCAAAAATTATTGCAAGAAACAAACATTTTATGGCATTATGTGTTGAAAAGAAAATCACATTTATGTTAAATCAAAATTTCATGCTACCATGCATGCATGCTTGAACAGTGCTTTTATTTATTTGAAATTAATAGTTTAGGGGTGTTTTGAAGATATTGGTCTAAAAACTGTGACATTAAAAAAAATTTATAGAGATAACAATATAGCCTGCTTAGCTTCACACATTAGCAGTCCCCAGTACCAAGGCAACGACTACTCAACAATGATAATGACAACATGCTTATCAGATAATCCAATGTTAAGAGGTTGGATTGTTAACATATTTCTAACATTATTGCTTTGGGGATTAAAATTCAATCAACATATACATCTTCAGTTTTGAGGATAGGAGAGGGATAGAAGATTTGGAATTTTTAGATAGAAATGGGACTTTTAGAGTGTTAGGTTACAAATTCTGGTATGTTCCATAATTGTGTTTGTCTATACTTACTAACAAGTGATACGACCACAACTACAAAGTCGAACACATTCCATGGTTGTCGAAAGTAGTGATGCCTCAACCCAATTATCTTGATCACACTTTCCAGGGTAAAAATAGTGGTAAACAAAATGTTGAGGATGTCTAAGATGTTTGAGACATATTTTGTCATCTTGTAGTGGTCTACAGCCATAGCAATCATATTCATGAAAATCACAACCACTATGCACAGGTCAAACTTGGTGCTCACTGCAACGTCATAGAAGACTGCTTGACATGCCGCCTGAAAGGATAGCACAAATGTCAAAAAAGAAAAGCACATTTCTCTAAGAGTATCAAAAATGGAACAATCAGTTAATCTTGAATGACATCCTACTTGTTAAATACATGAATGTCCCTGTTATAAATGAACAATTTTTTTTGTGTGTGAAAATGGAGCAGTTATTAATCATCTTTTGCTTGACTTTATATTTGGAAGACAATAGCATTGTGTTTTTTAAATTCCGTGATGTATAATTTTTGTAAAACCTCAGTGTTATATGCAACCATAATAACTTCCCATTAGCAGTGATGAGAACTTCATTATCATATCAATACAATCTTGTAAAAATAAAAGAAAATAAAGTTCTCATGAATGAAATATGACTTATCCAGCATCTTAAGACTGAAACCCAGCTAAACTGTTTCATTTTCTATGTACATGCGACTCTAGGACTACACAAATCTCAAAGGATCAAGTGAAATATATATAAAATATTTTAATATAAAAAGTTTAGTAAAAAAAAATGAAGTAGAAATAAATGAAATAAATAATATATTTTTTGACGATCAAACTTAACATAATTGAGTACCAAATGTCATATATGTTTAATTTCATGAAAGTTATTATTTTTTTAATGGATCTATTATACAAACATGCATTTTGTACATGGACATATTGTAGAAATGAAAAAAACATGCATAGGAGATTTGAAGGAAGACAAAAAAATTTAAATAAACTTCAAAAAAATTGCTTTATATTGCAAAGCTCACCTCCTTCTGATGGAAAGAATTATTATAAACAAAAATAGCAAGATATTGAAACAGATGATGTCAAATACTGTACATCATTTCAATACACAGAGGTCTGAACCTGTACATGCACACTGACAGACTGAAATTTATACAGGTTTCTAACAACTCACGCTACAGAGGATTCTCAAAGCACACTGTGATACATAAGTCTATAGCAATGGCAGCAGAGAGCTTCCATTATTTCTTGGTTTTATCAAATATTTAAATTTTCAATCCCTAAATACTGAATGATAGTCAAATTAAAAATTGAGTCTAAGACTGAAAACAGTCTCAGAAGATCTTCTATGATTTCATCCAGACTCACCAAACAACCACGGGCCTGAAATATTGCATAAAATTATGGAAATATTGCTGAATATAACCTGGCTACAAAACCAAGCATCAAATATGCAATTACAATGTGCATATAAAATAATTGCCAAGAATCAATTTGTGCAGCCAATTTCATGAATGATGACACATGCCTTTGCATTGCTGGCATATAATTTTTATTAAGTTTACCTTTGGTCTCTTGATGGTCTTCTGTGGCTTTTTGGATCCCAGCTTCTTCAAGGTGTTCATGTAATTTTTCTGACCTTGTGTTAAGAACATATCTAAAGCGCTGCCATCATACTGGTAAAGAAATATAAAGGCAATCATACAGTCTCTTCTCTATTTATTTCAACACATTTTTCATTGAACTCAAAACTGCTTGACACAAATTAAAGTTGAACAAACCTTTTTCTTCAAGGCATTGAAGTTGTCGATAATGACACCAATAATCAAGTTGAGGGTAAAGAACGACCCAAAGATGATAAAAGCCACAAAGTACAGGTACATGTATAGGTTGTTCTCAAAGCTAGGCTGCTTATCCACCTGTCAAATTAATATGTTCATAGAAAGCTTTAGCAATTATCAGTCATTAGGTCAATTCTTAGTTCATTTTATTAATTTGAATGAGGTACCATCAGTACTCCAAAGAAATATCACAAGATATACATGTATGTACTTAAGGTTCAGGATTAATTGATAATTTACATTTATATTTAAAGCACAGATCCAATCAATTAATGAATATATTAACTAGTTTCAGACCTTAGACTTTTTTAAAATTTTCATTTTGCAATGTATGGTGATTCCTTCCCATGCCAAGAACAAAGATACCTGATCATACCATGTATTTGCAAATAGCGAATTGATTATACTTACATCTGTACTATCTACGGCATCGTCCATAACTTCCATCCATCCCTCGTATGTGGCTACTTGGAACAAAGCAAGATAGCCACTCAAAACATTGTCAAAATTAATATTGGAGTTGACCCAGGTGTAATTGTGTGTGGAAGCCATTGCCAAGCACTGGCTTTTGTTAGCTACAACACTGGGGAGCAACACCTCACCGCTTGCATCCTTACACTTGTAAAATCGACCAGAAAGGAACTGGACTCCCATAATACTGAAGATCAGCCAGAAGACCATACACACAACCAAGACGTTCAGAATGGCGGGGATGGCCAGCATCAGAGCATTGACCACAATCTGTTACACAGATAGAGACTCCTTTATTATCAATTATTCATCTCTATATATAAATTTTAGATTAAATATCTAGGAAATACCTAAATATCTCACTCTTCCTCAAGCTCGATAATACTTAAATATCTTACTCACCCTAATGCTCAGTAATACCTAAATATCTCACTCAGCCTCATGCTCGGTAATACCTATATATCTCATTCACCCTAATGCTTAGTAATACCTAAATATCTCACTCACTCTCATGCTTGGTAATACCTAAATATGTCACTCACCCTAATGCTCGGTAATACCTAAATATCTCACTCAGCCTTCTGCTCTATAATACCTATATATTTCATTCACCCTAATGCCTGTTAATACCTACATATCTCACTCAGCCTCTTACTCAGTAATATCTCTATATCTCATTCACTCTAATGCTCCCTAATACCTAAATATTTCACTCACCCTCATGCTCTGCCACCTTGATATTGCTCTAAGAGGTCTAAATGCACGGAGTGTCCTCAGGGATCGGAATGCTGAGATGTCTTCACCACCCGCAGCATCAGCTATCAAACTGGCCAATGAGATCTACAATCAAATACAGAATGTACTCCTGGGAGTTGAACTCTTTAAACATTTATAGGAGAAAATCAGTCCAACTAGAAAGCTGACCAGTCAGCAGGGCCCCGCCGAGGGGTAGAAATATAAGAGTGCAGCTTACAGAATAAGAATGCTAATTGATTACAAAAATTTAAAAATATATGAAGAAGAATATGCAATAACAACTGTATTTATAAAATTAAAATTTCAAGATAATTCCTAAATATCCAACAACCTGTAAAGAGTATCCCTGTATTTACATAAGGCAGTAAAACACATCATATCTATAATAACTCAATTAAATGCATATTCAAACAAGAATAAAGCATGTGTTTTCAAATATCACCTAGCCTTGACCTTAACTTCAAAACAAACATCAGTTGCAGACAAAGGTTAATTTATCTTAAAGTGACAAATAAAGATAAGCCTGGAAAATTTTCTGCCCAAGACAAGATAATTAATCCCAAGGGATTAATTGTACTGCTCTCTTATCCTTTTCTTCCAAGTTTACAATAAGAACTCCTTCAGTAATGATAGAATGAGTTTATTATTGGACTACCCGTTAAAATTAATAGTATTCTTGAATTTACAACGGCAGGCAAAAAAGAAATGAATAAATAAATAAAATAAATAAATAAAAACAAAAAATAAATAAATAAAAAAAACATATCTTTATGTATATCTTGTTTTTAGAATTCAATAAAATCATAACTCATTGTATATTTTACCAATATAAAGTATGAACATTATTTAAATCCACATTTCAGAGAATGTAAACATCATTCAGAATTGACCTTAACTTCAAAATAAACTTCATTTGCAGACAGAGGTGTTAATTAATCTCAATTTGACAGAAACAGATAATGCTTTGGATTTTCTTCAAGAGGAAAGTTAATTAATCCCATGGGACTAGTTGCAGCTTTCATAGTTTACAATTGCAACATTCTCAGCAGTTATCTCTCTTTGCCCTGGCATTCATTCTAATGTAAAGTTAAGGAATCTACCCCACCACCCCAGCTCCAAACTGGATGACATAGAGAACCAAACTTAGATCAAAATATGTCTTACTGCCTCTTCAACCAACATACCAAATTTGAACTTAATTGGTCAACTACAAAAAAAGTTATTAGAAAAAAACAGAAAATTTAGAGAGACGGAAAAAAAACAGAAAATACAGAGAGACGGACAGACAGACAGAGTGATTACTATAGGGCACCCGCAAATCCTTGCGGGGCCCTAACTAGGGATATGTTGTGGTAAGCTGGAAGTCCCAACCACTTTTTCTTTATGTATTTTAACCTCAATATCTTGAATCCTCTAATATCTCTCTTTTTTTTTTCTCTGACCCATTGAGTTTGATATTGAGGATTGACTGTACCTGTATATGATTGTCAGAGTACAATTTTGAGTAAAATTTGCTCACACATAAGTGGAATTATTTAACCCATAAAAAATCTGCAATGGCCTTGGGAAATGAAACAAAACTTCAACTTCCAAATATTATAAGGCATGCACAACATACACTTCAGCTGAAATATGGAACAATGGTTTAAACTAAAACTCACTGAGATTTAGATTACTCACCACAACAATGAAGAAATCTAGAATTGTCCAAAAGCTTGTGAAGTATTTTTTGAATCCTAGGGCAATCCATTTCATTAACATTTCAATTGTGAACAGCACAGCAAAGACAATGTTTGAATAGTACAGTGCAGCCTCCAGTTCTGGACGAGTGTACAGATATACATCCTCAAAGGCCTACAGTTCATAAAACAAAGATCATAGTAAATAAATTCACACAAGGTTTTTTTTTATTCTGATGATATTAATAGCTTACCAGTATATAATAGGTACCTTGTACTATGTACCCAACAGATTGATGTTTTACTTAGTACTTACCAAAGACATACTGCTTAGGGCAATGCACACAAGAATGCTGTATTCAAAGGCTTTGTGCTCCACAATTTTACACATAGTGTATCGCAATTTGTACCATTTTTTCCCAAAGCTGGATTCATCAAAATCTGACCAGAGGGCATGGCTGAATAATTAAAGGATAGAATATTGTTCAGGATAACAACTCACATTTTATGTTCTTATTTTGACTTTTAGAAATTTTGATTGAGTATAAAATTTTCAATTTTTTTAAAAAGATATTGTCTTTCAACTTCCATAAACTAACAAAGAAAGCCAAGTGTGAGCAGGTGATTTCATGAACTAAAACAATGCAATTTATATTTTACAAGAAATAACTATGTGTTGCAGTGCTTTACTTTGCTAAACATTTCTATTTAAACCAGGAAAAAAAAAAAATAGGCCAATTGGCCTTGATGGTCCATGATGATGCACACTATATATGTACAATTATTAAGTTATTCAGTAAAGTTAAAATGTTTAAAAATTATGTGAGTCATGGCCAAATCAAATATTACACTATAGTAATTATGATTACATGTATATAAATACTAAAATTATGGTATGAAAATGACTTTATATACTCATGGATTGTAACTGCTAGTTAGTGCTACACATTTTAAAGTTTCAATTTAGCTTTTGTTAAAACACACACAATATAAAACTCAGTGTTTTTCACAAGTTCAGTTCTTACCCAGTCAATTTCAAACATCTGTTAGAGTGAAACAAATGACAATATTGTACAGGTACATGAACCATGAAAATTAAATTCTAAATCATCACTTTGCATTCAAAATGTGAAGGAATCATTGCTTTAAACAGAACTGTGAACAATCAATACTTTCATTAAATAACCCTGTGATGTGAAATTATTAATTAGACACTGTGTGAAAATTAAATCTTAGTGAAAATTGTACTTACTTTGACATGCAGAATCCTGGGAGGCAATCCTCCACAACTGTTTCTTTATTTTCATCATCATCATCCATGTCATTGGCTTCATCACCCAGAGCCATACCATCTTTGTCTTTTTTGTCCTTTTTATCCTTAGTTTCTCCAGCTTTGGAAGTGCTACCAGCATTACTGGCTGTTGAGTCTTTTGCTTTGGAAGCTTTTCTTGCAGCATCAAAATCGGAAAATTTGTCTCTCTTTGCATCAAATGCCTTGTCCACCTCTCCCTTATCCTATAAAAATGTGTCAGACATTAGCAATATCAATCATTATGATTTGTCTTAGTCTAAATAAGCCTAAGAAGATTTCAAATCCTCGTTTGTGTTATTTTTTGAAAGGGGGGGGGGTGAAAAATAAATTAACTGCTTATGTTTTCTGATAGAACACAGTTGATCTATCTGTTTTAGGTCATACAATATGCTACAATTTCAAAATCCCATTTGACACACTATTATTATCAACAGAATCCTTTCTTACATGGTTGATGCCATTTGCTTTTAATGTCCCATTGGCTATAGCTTTCTTATCTTTGGTGTCTGTTAAATGAAAAAAAAAACTTTATAAAAGTCAAAATTCAAATAAACACAAAATTCATGAAAGTCAAAATTCAATTAGTCTGAGTAATTCCTAGTCATTTCAAATGACCTTACCACTATCTAAATCTGTCATGCCAATTTGTTTTTCCTCATCTATATCATCTGGTCCTACAGAGGCTGTTCGAGGGGTTTTCTTGAATCTGTTACAGCAGCAACAGCAGAATCTCTTTATCTTTCCAAATGCTAGTGCAAGCTTGTCTTCTTCTTCATTATCATCAGACCCTTTCAAAGATTCACTTCCGAAAGCATTCAGTAGTAAGGCCAAGAAAAGATTGAGAACCTATCAAAAAATATATACATGTACATGTGTATATAAATTGAGAAATCCATCTTTTTCTCAAGTGTTATTTGTATTTAAAAGAATAGTTTGACATGACACTTAATGAGTACAGGAAATGTACATAAATCACTTTTTCTTCCCAAGAAAATTTGGTTTTGAGTAATTATGTGAAACCATCTGCTTGTTAACCAGATTTGGGAGAATTTGTCTCGCTTATGATTACCAAATACCTAACATGCGAAAATAAGGTGTCATGAAAATTTGGTGACCTAGTAGTTCATTCAAGTATTTGGTTTAAAAAAATCTCAATTTTGAAGTTCTTATGTTATTTGCATGGATTCAAAAAAGAAAGAAATCAATGCTAAATCTTTCCTTATGAAAAAATTAAAATGGACAATCTTCAGGACTTACAATAAAGTATCCAAACACTAGAGTTGGCAGGAAGACCACCATACATAGTTCGTCAGCTGCTCGCATACAATTCCACAGCTCCTCAATCCACTCTCCACAGAGGATACGGAAAATCAACATCAGAGCATGGAAAAATGTATTGAAATTCCATCTAGTGAGAAGGAAAAGCCAATATTAGTGCACTTTCTTAACAAAGGGAAGTAAACTTTTGGAGTTTCTGTCTCACATGTAAATCTTCAAACACCATAGAAAAAAGTCCTTTGTTGCTGTACATGAATTAAATTTTCCACAAATCAGAATACTGTTGATAGCTATCAATTACCTTGGTACTCCATCCTCTCCAAATTTATCTGCTGTGTAGCTCTTCCTAAACAACTGTAGACCAATCACAGCAAATATATAGATAATGATAACGAGAATGACCGTCAGGTTTCCCAGTGCCCCAAGCGTACTCATGATTATAGACAGTAGGACTCGCATTGTTCTCCAAGACTGGGCCAACTTAAAAACTCTCAACTGAAATGTTGAACAAGAATATTTGAACACATAACAAAGTAAAAACATGCATATCTATCTAAAATTTTCAGGTAATTTTATAATTGTTGACTATTATTTTTTTTTTTCCAAGGCTTGCATTTTGCTAATCATATTGGCACCTTAATTACTTCAGTATTTTTTTTAACTTCCAATAACCATGATCATAATAGTGATTACACAAAACAGATATTAAGAAATATCAATTCTGACATCACTCACCAATCTGAATGTCCTGATGACACTGACACCATCCAAATCGGCCAACCCAAAATCTATCCAACTGGCTGCCACAATTACCAGGTCAAAGTTGTTCCAGCCATTGGAAAAGTAAAATTTTCCAAAGGCTGTCAATTTCAGCACTGCCTCAAGAGTGAAAATGACAGTGAAGACCTAGGAAAAATATTTTACAAATCAAAATTGATTCTAAACTGCCAGTAAATCTTAAATTTTACTTTATGAAAAGTATATTTTACAAAGAAAATGGATGCAATTCTAGAGCTGTTTACATACATAGTTTCGATAAACACTTGCATGTAAAACATTCAATTTAAAATAGTGCAAAACCATATCTGTAATTATGTATGTAGTCAACTCATTTAATAATTCAAATCATATGCAAGTATAAGATAAATCATCTATCGCCTTTCTTTAAGAAGTTTTCCACATTTTAAAAGAAATCAACTTAAAAGTTCATCAAGAAATGAGTGAATATTAATTCGAGCAAATACGGTGGAGTACATCAAACAATCCATTTTTAATTTTAACCTAATCTGTAAATGATAAATTATACATACAATGTTGGCAACTGTTGTGGCCGTAACCAGTTGATCTGGCATGTTGTGGTACTCTAACCCCATAAAAATTGTGTTCACACCAATACAAAGTGTAATGAAGAGGTCAAACAGTGGGTCTGACACGAAGATGAAGACCAGGTTCTGGAGCCTCAGCCAGGGGATGAAGCAGTAACAACATTTCCCCATGCAGGAGTGATTTCTGTCCACCAGTGTTCCTGGCTCATTTCTACCTGTGCTTTCCTCACCTAGCAAGGTGTAAAACAAAACAGGTAAAACATTTGGGCATAATTTCTACATTGTATAAAAAAAAGTGTGAGTGTGATACATATATGTTACAATAAAAAAAAATTAAAAAAAGAAGAAAAAATGACTTCAAAATGTTGCATTAAGTTAGAGGCCAATAATTGATCTTCTTGAATGAAACAACTCCCTCATTTATATTTCTAAATGCATGCAACACCTGTTTTGAGGTCATAAAACTGTAACAAGCAGAATGTGGTGAATAGTATAGGGAAATTATCTAATGATCTATATATTTAAAATTTTGAATATAGTTCCATCTACACAGATAAGCAACAACCATGCCCATGTTAAAGGCACATACAGTAAAACTTGTCTGATCTGGACACCAATGGTTCCAAAGAAATTTGTCAGATTAGACAGCATTCCAGGATTGACATTTTCAACAACTGAATTTACCAAAAAGAACTGTAAGACACAAGATTAAGGAATACACAACATCTGGATTAAACAAGTTTTACTGTATTTATTATTATAATAAAAATCAAATAGACTTTTGTTTTTTCCTAACATCTGTATGAAAAAATAACTTTGGCATCATTGACAAAAATTAGTACCAGTAAATACCATATATTTAGTATTTGGCCCCTATCTGCCCAGCACATGAATTAAAATACTGGAAGCCTTAATTGATATGAAGATATACTACAAATACACTAGCTATCAACCCTATCAATTAAATATTTATGCAAGATTTAAGTTTTTTTTTTAATTGAGTACACTAACTAAATGTATCTATCTATCTATCTATAACATGTACTTGTATTTCTGTTTCCGTTTTATTCTGTCAATTCCCAAAAATATTCAGTTTTGGTTAATGATTTCATATTTAAAATCCCGTATATGTATTTTGGAAATGCCAAAGTTTATAGCTTAAAAAAAAAAAGAGAATGCTTTTCTTGTCTGATCCCCCCCCCCCCCCCTCAATCAATACATTGGCCTTTAAGGATGAAAACATGTACATGTTTACTAAGATTTGTTTTACCAACCCAGATATATGTAAATAAGCAAATGATATAAATCTGGCATTAAAAAAAATAAAGCATACATAGGCATAAAAAGTAATACAATCCAAAATAAATAGTTACAACCAAATGTTAAGTAAAAAAAAAAAAAAAATTCATAAACATAGGAAATGCTATTGGGATTTGTACAGTTAACATCTTAGGGAGGTGATTAACAGAGGGCTGGGGTTTTTTGTACCAGAAACAACAAATACTGGGTGGAGAATGAAGACGCTTACCACTGTTTTTTAAGCTTCCTAAAAATCAAACATATAGTATTCTCATATTTTTATACAAACATATGGTATTCTCATATTTTTATACATGTGTGGATATAAACTTCTTACTGAAGAAACTACTTCATGCAACTAAATACATATTATAATGCACATGCCTTGAATGAGTTAACAGTGTAGGGAAAAACAAGATTAGAGAATAATTGATAATCATTTTTACTGAGCTGGCAAGGAAATTATATACATTTACTGATAATTCTACATTGCATAAATCCAGCATACATTGAAATATGCTGTGAAAATTAAATAACTGTTATTTCAAAATTACTCTGTGACCTTGTGCACAGTGTCCTAACTACTTCACATAATCCAACTCATTACCAAGCAAACAAGGGGATTAACTACAGTGAGGTTTACATCATGATACACAATCAATCCTCTTAAAGCAGTATTAAGCCTATTTTTAATTCAACTATGTCTTGTGTAACAATTTATGAAAATAATTTTCAGAAGTATTTAAATATCATTCTAGTAAAACCAGTTAACAATTCATCAAAATTGAATACTACCTCAAATTTACAGTCATCAAAACATTTACCAGGGTAATAGTACTGTAGTTAGTAAAAAAGTTAAACCACATTCATAAAAAAAAAAAAAAAAAATCAGAATACTTTTTACATCTACTTATAAATCCCACTTCTATTAAATAATCATACAACATCTAAAGAGGGACAAAGAGTCACAAGAAGTTTAGATTATATGATTTTATTTCATATCTGGGGAAAATTATGTAATAGATGTACATGTAAATAAAAGGACAGATTAGTGGTACTAAAAGTTGGTCTCCTTTTGGGAAGACATTACTCTTTCCTTCAAATTGAATTTTTCTAATATTAGAATGCATCAATAAAATCCTTGACAAATTTAAACATCAAAGCGATACAATTACTGTGTTAATTTTCAAATTTCTCTAGTTCCTACCAGATATATCTCTCTTCAACCATCCCCACCCTTTTCCAGTGTTTACCTGAATTTAGCATCTACAACTTCAGACAGTACCAAAACAGACTACGGAAAATAAAAAGAGAAGGACCACTGATATAAGAAAACACAAAATAAAATCTGGTTAATACCAGCTTTCCATTTCTTGTGCACATTAGAACCTGCAAGATAGACAACAAAGCCAATCATATTTATTCATAAATTTCTTCCATGATGAATCTACCTTATACAAACTTGGATCCTATAATGAAAAAAAAAATATACCCTACTGGTCAATAAATAATTTTTGCCTGATTTTACCTTTGATTATTTTTGGAGGTGGCTTGCTAGATTTAGTCTTTGTAGAAAGGTCTCCATCATTGTCACCAAGATGTATCCCGGAGGAAGAAACCTGCAAATGCAATAAAACATTCCTAAGATTTCAGATGCATTCACAGCAAGCATATAATCCAGTTTAGCAGAAAAATCAATCTACCGTATTCTAATAAAGGCAATTATTTTAGATATATAGCTTTGAAACAATACATTTTTAAACCAAATAAATAGGAATCTCAGAAAAATTAATGCAATCATGATAGACCAGTAATTTCACCCTGGAAAATGTCAATATATCGTCAGGATACCACTAAACATAAACATGATATGTAAATGTTAGAAGTGTGTTATAAATGTAGAAAATCTAATTGGTATTCTGTGGAAAAAAAAGATTGGGCACATCAATTCTGGCCTGTATGAGAATTGCAGCCTTCACACTCTATACCCTTCATTTATCAGGTACTGCCAACAGATACTTAACAATAGAATTACGCAAACAACCCAGAAAAATAATTCTATCAACCACAAAAATGTATTATCATTCAATAATTTCTGACGTCAATACACATACAGAATTATTTTTAAATTGCTTTAAATAAAAGAGGTCAATATCAAATTTACAGTTCATAGATCCAATTTCATATACAAACTCTTAGGACTCCTTTTGCAGGCAAATTATCAATATTTCTACCATTATTACATGTCAATGCTCCAAAATTACCTTAATGTATCCTTTATTTATGTATAATGTATTGCTTTGTTGGAACCTTTTATAAAATTTTAAATCTCTATTTTTACAGCTGTTAACAGATATATCAAAATAAGCAAAATTTAACAGAAGATATGACAAGAACTGCATGTAAATAGTCTTAATGCATGTGATATATGTGATAAAGAAATCAGTCATGATGAAAAGCAGTGCAATTCAATAGTTAAATACTCATTCATTTTGGTAGCTATTTCATATGAAAAACAGTGACATGCTTTTGTGATTTTCGCAGAAAGTTACAGAATAAATTATGAATAATAAATTGCTCTCTGTTAGGAACTGAACACATGAAAAATATTAAAAATGTATTACTTCTCTACTATGTGTTGCAGAGAAAGAAGATGGAGCACATCGCTACAAAAGAGAACAATTAGAAGAGAATGAGAAAAGGGATCTAGGTGTTTTCTGGAAAAAATCTTCAATGCTATTAATATTCTCCCAAGGTCAAGAAAAATGCATAAAACTGCACAGAACACACATTTACAGGATTTGGCTAACAAACTTGCATATTACTGTTCATAAGTTTACAGGATCTCTAAATACTGTAAATGCAGTTTCTTTTTCTCAGATCTATACATTTAACAGAGAGAATGCACAAATTCAGGGTTACTGGCCATAAGGAAACATTAGCTTGACCTTACAAATGACTTATGTGTACCAGTGCATTGTACAGGTGTTTAATGTCTACTCACAACTTTTATATATCGAGGTTTATTATTTTTCACAGGTATTGGTGGCTGAAAATAAGCAGATAACAAAGGGGAATAAGCCAAAAATTGCCTTCTTAAGGGCAGATAATCAACAGTGTTCATTCATGGAAAATTATTTGGTACAGTAATCTGATCATTTTTGGAAAAAAAAAAAAAAGGTTTTTGAAATAATAAGTACTTTAAAATATTTTTTTTCTACAAGAGTACATGTACATCATTAAAAGAGCTTACATTATATAAATCAACTGACCAAAAGACAAGAGAGAAACGTTTTCACAATTCATTTTTGAGAATTCAAGAAATAAATTGTGCTTTTCTGGAATTTTCTGATGTCTGCAGGTAAGTTCAATCATTACATCAAAAGTGGAACTGAATAATTGAACTATATGTGGTCAAGCAATCCCCATGAGAATCACAGCCAGGAACACACTGATCCTTCTATTACGTGTGAGATAGATGCTGAAAAACCAGATCTGTCTATTTTTAAATAAGAAGAAACAACTCACATTTCTTCTGGCTTTATTCCCCTTGTTTTTCTTATCTAATTGTCTTTTTAGTTCTTAACTGTTGGGTAATATTTTTGTGGCTTAATGAAAATATATTGATTCATGGGTATTTGACTTCATGGTTACTGAAGTGTTGAGTTGTTATTTATTTATTTATTTGAATTTTTACATTTCCTGGGGGACATGAATTCATGGGTCTACTGATACCAAGAAAACAACAAAAATTAAACCTCCATGAAAATGAGAGATTTATGTAGTATGTTGACTTTGTTCCAAGCAATGTTAATAAATCATAAAATCTCAAAAATTTTATTTATAGAATGAAATCATGTTTGAAAAATGCACTATAGTATTTCAGATGGCTGCCTACTTGCAACTGAATGCTATCATCTCTTAATTATGACTTCTCTATTCTGCAACCTCTTACTTGGAATTGGTTAGCTATAACAGAATCTGATTCACCTAGTCAGACAGGTATCTGGTTAAAATTACACTCTTTTGAAAATGTGCAATAGAGAAATAAACAAGTTTGGATGAGTTATTGAGCTTTTAAAAGTGACTGCATGCAATTAAAGGGAAGAGTTTATGCTAAAAGAAAACAGATAATTGTATCCCAGTTGATCAATAAAGGTAATTAAATGGTTGATAGAACCATATTCACTGAACACACAAATCTAGAATTTATTTAATGGTACCATTTCATGGTCCTCAGATTAGCCTTTCAATTCAAGATCCATGCAGTTAATTAAAGATGTTTTCCACGTTGTTATCAGTCTGTTGCATCAATAATCTCGTAACTTTGGTACAGGGAAGAAATAATGTAACCAATACTTACATACATACAACGTCCCTGTCCAAAGGTTGGTGAGGAGTAGAGAGCTATGTTTACAGTTACTAACTACAGCTAGAGATACAAGTACAAACCTCCACCAGGCAAGCTGTTAATTCTCTGCTAGTACACAGCTAGATAGCTGAAGTTAGTAAGCTTGAGCATATTATTGCCTTATTGAAAGGAAACACTTACATTTGCCAAACTGTCCTGCTTGATAAATGGCTTTATTGGTGTGGTGGTCTTTTTGTCAATGCTGTCAGAGTTAAGGCCATGTGACATGGACCCGGTACCAGAGTCGGCTTTGCGTGGGTTAGACTGGCTGTCTAGGCTGATATTATCAGGGTCATCTTTGTCCTTGCTACCTCCAGAGTGAGAGCTGACATTACTCTGAACAGAGTATCCGCTATCCTTACTTGGCATTTTGACCATAGGATTACGACCCTTGCCATAATTTTGTAAAGGCTTTCCATTGACAGTAACAGTCCCAGACTTAGAATTGCTACCTACTTTTGAATCTTTGGAGTCCTTGTTGTTGTTGGTGCCATTTGACTGCTTCCCGTCCTCCTTTGGTGGTTTCCATTTGGTGCTGTCTTTGGCGACTTCCTTGTCAGCTTTGGCCTTGTCTGCTGCAGCCTCCTTTTTTAACTTGTCTTTTGCAGCTTCCTTTCTTTCCTTTTCTTCTTTTTCCTGTATGTATAATAATCATATCATAATCTTATAATAACCATTCAAATTGAAGTCTTTTTTAAACATTTATCAGCTAGGCATCATCCTTGTTTGAAAGAATACAGAAAAATCATATTGATGCATTAAACACTAAAGTACAGGTATCCCAATATAAAATTTCATGATATTTAAAAACACCTTTGTCCCAAATGTTTTAAAGCTAATTTTATCACCATATATATTTTGGGTGAAAAAGTCTCCAGAAATGGATAGAGATTGCAATGAGTAAAATTGCTATATGTTTATATGTACATATTTGTATACTGGTAAGTAACATTAATAAATTTGGCTTGGTTTCATTTCTTTAGTAGAATATATATTGTTACACTGGGTCAGTATTTTAGGCCAATACTTAAGTTACACTGGGTCAATATTTGAGGCCAATACTTAAGTGGTTACAAGGTAACCCCAATATTGGCCCTCACCTACCTCCTCCTTCTCCATCTGTCAAAATTTTATCAGATACAATATATCATCAAATACATATAAAATAAAGAGGACCACTAGGATACATAACACACCCTCCTGTAACTAAATGATGCATATCATTTTATGAATGACCCTGTCATTTGCAACTACATTGAAATAAAGTTCCTGTAACATACATGTACCTGACATTCTTTATAAAATACTGTGGAATCATTTTAATTCGTGGGGGTCAATGTTCATGGGCAAGCAAAATTTTACTTGTTCGTGGGGACGTTATTTCATGGGTTACTCGTTTATACGGTAGATTCAGTGAATCAATATGTTCACAAAATATAAGTTCGTGGAGATGTTAATTCGTGGGTAAGGACGACCCACGAAATCCACGAACATTGATCCCCCACGAACAATGATGATTCCACAGTAGCCATATAATGCCAAAAGGACATCAAATTGACCAACTTTTGGTTCATAACACCCCTCCCCCTATAAAGATCCAGGAACTAACCAGGTTTGATGGTTTTAGGCCTCATTGTGTGCAAGATAAGATCTGGACACAATTTGACTATGCATAGCCATAAATTTCTAAAATGAGGCTACAAAGACCTTGTTTTGGTCAAGATACATTTTCTCTCCAAGATGAATCAACTGACCAGGTTTGATGGTCATATAGGCCTAACTGTGTGTAAAATATATTCTGGACTTGATTTGACAAAGCTATAAAATTCCAAAATAAGATCACAGCCTACTTTTGGGTTGTGCAACAAGTTCTTCTGAGATGCATCAAAAAACCTAAGCCTCACAGCGTGAAAGATATCACATGAACATGAAAAAGCTAACAGATGAACCAATGGATGGGAAAGCCCATACCGAAATAAGGCCTGCCAATAGAAAGGCTTATAAAAATTGCTGATCATAGGTTCACTATATCACCAAATACATGTTCAGTTCTACCTATATTGGATACACTATAGCATCAACTACTTGAAAAACTTGGCTGATTTTAAATACCACATGTATTACTATGTCCTGCTGGCAGTGAAAAAGTAAAGAAATCAAAGTATTCTTGTGATTTTTGTAAACAAAACCAAGAATTATTCTGATTTTTGAGACATACCCTGTTGGTATTGACAGCCTCCTCTTCATAAGACATAGCTACAACAGCCAGCATCAAGTTGATGAGATAAAAGGATCCAAAGAAAACCACTATCACAAAGAACAAGACATTCCATGGACCCATTGCCCGAATAACCTACAAAATCATTAAAAAGATGTCAGTTCATGACATGACAAATATATCAAATCATTCTTCTACATTCCAACCATTCCTTTGTGCATATCTAACCTTATTGTACGTGTCTTCCCAGAAGTCCAGAGTGATCAGCTGAAATGAAGTCAACATAGCCCAACCAAAATGGTCAAAACTTGTATAGCCAAAATTAGGGTTTTCTCCTATGTCTGGAAGGCAGGTGTAACCACTCGGACATGATCTGTAAAAAATACCAGACAATTTTATATATAGGGACAGCAAAAGGTTACACAGCACTTTCACAATTCAGTCAGATGAATTACAGTATTTACCCTGCAGCCGAAGCATTCCCACATATCAAGTATTCCCCTTCTCCATCCTGGTACCAGTTTGCTTAAATTACAAAAAAAGTCATTATTGCAAGCTAATGAACACAGACTTTTAGTGTACTTTCAGTCTAGAAATACATGTTAAAACTACAAAAAAAAAAGTGATTTAAAAAAGAAATTGCTAGGTCTTTCACTCACTCACTCTTTCATTATCTGTCACAGTTTGAACACAAATGCTTTGAAAGTAGCTGCTGACATATATCAAATTCTACCTCTTTAACAATCTTGTATATTTAAAAAAAGATCACCATCTTACAAAGTGCAATATTCATAGAAAGTTCAATCATACAAAATACATGTATTATAAACACTAGTAGTGAAACTTCATACCATCATTTTTTATCCATTCATCATAGTAAGCTAAATATGACTTGGATGGTGTGGCATTGTACTCAGGGATATTTGCTACACATTTCTGTCGCAGAATCCCAACATACACCTGGAGTCCAAACAATGCAAAGATCATCAGACAAAAGGTGGTCAAGATGATCACTTCAAAGAGTAGCTTGAAAGCTCGGAGCAATGCACCCACTATTGTCTTCAATCCTGATAAAGAAACATATTCAATACATGAACAATTCATAGTATGCAAGGATTTGCTATGGTCTAAATATTTATACATGTAGTTTTATAATTACCTGGAACTATAGACACTGTTTTAAGAGCTCGTAATACTCGGAATGTTCGTAACATCTGAGGATTAAATACACTTCCATCATCTTCTCCTGTACTTGGCGATGATGTGAAATCTATGATAATGGTGACATATCTACAACAGAGAAAAACAAGCTTCTCAATTTTTGAAATACTCTTGAACTGTTCTACAATATTTCTTAAAGATATTTCTGGCTAAATCTAATTAGAAATTAAAGCTTTTTAAAATAATAATATACATGTAATACTATAATACAATAATAAAATAATAAAGTATTGCTCTTAAAATAGCTAATTAATTATTCAAAAGATGCTCATTAGGAATTCCTGAACACACCAATATCTATAATAATTTTTTTTTATTGTATAAAGCATTTGTCTTTGTATTTCAGTTCCTCATATATATTAAGGTTGATTGACTCTCTGATGAGAGATATATCTCTTCCATGGATTATTGAGTATTGTTATACCTTTCAGAATTGGTTCCTATATAAATCTTTACTTAAAAAAAGGTCTAACATTTGCAATGTTTTAAAGAGTGGTCATAAAAAAATTGATGTTTAACCGTGGAGTGAGATATTGGACTTGTCAATGAGATATTGGACTGCTTACATCACGCAGTTTGGTTCTTGGGTCCAACAAAACGCATGTTGCCCTCAAACCCAGTCAATTAATGTACAATACTCCCTTTAAAAATTTCATCTTCAAATTTGATTTCTTTCAAATGTTGCACCATAAGGCTGAAATTTGTCTCATTTCAGATATCATTGCACTAAGTAGTGAATATGTCACAATCTATGCAGTCCCTTCATTCTTGGTAAATAAAGATTCATCGATCATCATATAAGGTTTTTCTTTACTAATAATAAGTTTCCAAAAGAAATCTGTAAGTAAAGAATTCCTAGTGACCTAGTTCCTTAAAAACAAGATTAACCACATTTAATATTCTAAAAATATGATGCTAATTTAAGTCAAACTTACGCTGATATAATAACTACAAAATCTAGCCAATTCCAAGGATCTCGTAAATAAGTAAACTTGTTAATTATTAATCCACGAGCTGTAAGTTTTACAATACATTCCAAGGTATAAATTCCTAGAAAGACATATCTGCAAAGAGAGAGTAAAATAGGTTTTACAAAAATCATTCTAATACAACAATTACTGTACAGTACAGTATCCATGTCAGTAAGTCTTCTTTGCATTATTGAATCACAAAATAATACGATTTCATTAGAATGACATTCAATATATTCAATGCTAAATTTTTCAATGTTTTTTATTCAGTTTAGCTTCTTCCATGCTTTTGACTTTCAACAAAATTTCTATAAGTTTATTGTATTGTGAAAAAAAAAATACGTTGCTAGAAAACTTAACCACATCAGCATTTCTTATTATACATTACATTCATGTTCTCAGTAACATTATTTTTTTCAAGAATTCATATGGCCAATTTGTTACTTTTCACTTACTCTGCAGTTTCTGAGGCAGGGTCGTCTGGCATAGCTAAGAAGACACAATTACACAAAATTGTCAAAATGACTAGATAGTCAAAAAACTGATTTGTGGCAATATACACAGCCAACTTTCGAACAGGGTTCCAAGGCGTCAGACACCCAAGAGCTTTGGTGGCGGTGAAGCGGTGAATGTATTTGTTTGAGAAACGTGGTGCTATTGCTACAAATGTCTGAAAAAAAAAAGCAAACCAAAAAAGTTACAAATTAATAACAAATTAAATCCTCCCTTATCATGAAGATGATTTAAATTAAAACCTGTCAATAATCATATAACATCAACTTCCTCAGAAAAGATATAATTTTAAATTTCAAAATTCTTTGAAACATTTTCTTGCAAACATGGTTTAAATGACTAATTATCTATATAATAGACATATTTACTATAACAATCTAAAAAAAAAAAATCACTAAATCATTGGAACAAATTATTGATTTATACACAAATTGAGTCTATCCTTGAGGGGCTGGAGTTCTTTTTTCTTAAATCAACATTTTTTTTTTTTAATATAGAGTGTATGAAAGTTTTCATAATGCCTTTTTTTTATTATAATACTGTGACAAGTACTATCATTTAAAACTGAAAAGTTTAAAAAAATGTGTCAGAAAACATATCACTTATTCACTCAATGCATTATACCAGATATTATGAACAAGATTTATAATTCTAACCTTGTTTTTGTAAGAGTAATACTAATTCTTATATTTGTTTCAGTCTCTCTAGTACATAGAATATAAGGTCTAGACTCACATGGAAGATCACTTTTTTTTAAGGAAGCAAACCTCCTATTATCAAAGATATGATGAAGTAAAATCTATTTAAAAAGCAAATGCAAGGAGAAAATTAATTTCTTCAAAGTTATTTCTATCATCAAATTATATTTTTGGGACATTGTACTTTTTGAGAAAAAAAATATTATTCCAATATAACCAAGTGATCAAGTTTCACTGTAAAGTGAAAATCACCATCATATTTATTTAATTTAAACCTTAACAATAAACTATCAAATTTCTAAATGCTTAAAGATTAAATAATGTACACAACACATAGTGTGATGATAGGATCAGCATCTGTTACCCGCAATATCTACCCCATTCATCTTCCTGGGTGAATTCAGTCTAGGTCAATATCTCAGTTATTGTGTGTCTTTTCTAACCAATGAACATGATAACAAGGCAGATAAATTTTTATGGCTGGTTGCAACAATAATGCTTATCTTTGTTCAACATTTCTTGAAGAATTTGTCTTTTAGAAAAAAAAAATGTGATCTTCAAAATGACGGTATCAGAAGTTAATCAATCCTGGATATTCATTTCAACTATTACTAAACATTTTCTGCATTTGGATTGAAACATAAAGCCATGAAGATTAAATGTAACAGAAACCAGGAGCATTGTCCGAGATCTGCTTTGTAACCGTTGCATACTTTGTATCATTATGTGGGCCTTAGTAAGTCATTAATACGTGACCTTTTTGCACAGAATGTTGGGCTGAAGGATGTTAAAAATTTGACCCAACCACAGGAATATGATTTTAAATATAAATCTATCAAAGACAAAATGATTACTATTTTCTCTTTACTATTATGTTACCTTATACATGTGCTATTATTTTAGATGTGAATTGTTCACATGTATTAGCCATGACACACTCTATGTAACTCAACCAAAGACTTTAAAAGGCACAGGGCATATTCCTATAAGTCATAAAGAGGTATTGAGATTGTTACATTTTTCCCAATAACTTTTAAGCTAATATAAGATATCTCACAGATATTTAAAGCCAATTTAATTTGCACTCCAATTTTATTTTTTTGGCCTCAAGGTTCTTCCTTTTAGTCACCAACAATAAACTATTAGCAGAATATAAATAAGAAATTCATTTCTTTTTAACATTTACACAGTATGTACAACACAATGCTTTTATGTATACTTTTAAATGACCCCTAAATCCATTAAACAGTGTGGTGAAGCCGTAAGACACATTAAAATTAAATTGCTGAAGTGTCCAACCTTGACCAAAGACTTGGTTCAACAGTTTCGATGGATTTTTATTTGGAACAGAGCTGGTATAACTACATAAAAACTTCAATCACCCGCTAAAATGGTGACCAATAAGAGGATTAAGCCTTTACCTAAAGATCAAATACAGATTTGCAATTGTTTCAACCTAAAGGGTTTAGTGAAACTTTATGTGTAAGGTGTACTTTAAAACAAGTGCATGGCTCCAAGAAAAAAGAATTTTTTTAAGTTGTAAACAAATCCTAGATAATCCATTAATCACAATCATTAAGATACCAAACCAAATAGAGGAAAATGCCAAGACTAACTAACAGTCTTCTCCAACATTATCAAACAACAGATTTTTCCAGAAATTCTTTGTTTTTGTTGAGTGTACTTGAAAATATATCTTTTTTTAATAATACTAATAAACTGTATAATTAAACTTCAGGCAATCATCATTTTGATTATATTTCTTGATATATTATTGAAAGTCTAAATTCAATATAGAAATTTATTTCATTCTTTTTGATATATACATACAGTCAAATCCCGTTATCAAATTTGAGGGGGCCAAGATTAAACTTCAAGATATCCAAGGATACTAGATAACAAGGATTAAAAAGTAAAGAAAAGTGGTTAGGACTGCCACATACTTCGAATATCCATGATATTTGATATTTTTTGTAATTGTAAAAAATCTAGTTCTCTGCAATTACATAATTTTTCCTTAAAAAATTGAATGTGTACAATCATGTTTTATGTATCTTGCTGTTAACTGTTTTATGAATAAGATATTGACAATCTTTAATCCTTTTTTTTTTCTACACAGAAGAATGTTAAATTTCACTATCTTTGACTTGCAGCTGAGTAAAACAAACTTTGTTGAGACAATTTACTTTCTATTACATCAAATACAACAAGGGTCTACATTTTCATAACTAATGTTGAGTAATCGATGAGAAGGAAGGGAGAAAAATCAACAAATCAGCATAAACAATTACAAGTTTTACGCAGCAAAATGTTCGGAAGAAATGTGGTAGAAATATACCCGGGTTCTCAAGTTGCAAATCAAGACTTAAAGGGTATTTAAATAATTTAATTGCCGATTTTTATCTGCAATTTGGGTATAAAAGCTGTGATTTGATGTATGTAATTGACATTTAGTACAGATCTTGAGCAGATATCTATTGAACTTCAAAATTGGACTGATGATGGATACACTGAAGACAAAAGAAAAGCCATTGTCTCTCAAAAGAGCTTGCAATTATCAGATCAAAGACATAACCTTATACAAAACTATGTGAAGAAATGTATTGTGTCACTGCAATAATAGGGGCATCTTGAGATCACCAAGTTGCAATACAATTATGATTATGGAGCATAACGAATCCCTAAATCGGCTCCGTAAAACATAAAAATTACAACACAGAACAGAATTTTAAATGTAAATTCAATCTCCATGTATGTACATTTGACACAGGGAAATAGTACCAATAGCCTGGCTGTTACGCTGTAATCACACCATCAGGAGATTTGGGTTATAGTCAGAACAAAAACTATGACTTGTAAGCTTTGATCTGACAGTCCTACAGAACTAACAACCAATTGTTATCCTGATTTGAAACAGAGATCCAGAGTCAAAGGGTGCAGTGTTCTAAAGAAAGAAACGAACATCACGATGTCTTACATACAATAATAAAATAAAATGACAATAACGATGATGAATCTAAATTTAATCTCACTTCCACCAGGGACATACATGACAATGTCCAAGTCTCCAAACATGGAGGGGGATACACTTCACTGAGAAAAATCAAAGTGATATGATGGTGATTTAAAAAAGAAATTAATCACTTGGGTTATATGATAATAATTAAGATGCTATCTACTTGGTTTGAAACCTCAGAATGAATTCTTTTTGACATGCAGGTACATCATTGAATATAATCTCAGCTACTTAAGGTCAAAGGAATATTTGTATGAAAACTTCACAAACATAATAAATTAATAATAAGCACACACTGACAACTTTTTTGGACATGTAGGTACAGCATTTAATGTACTGTTATATATTTGTAGAAGAAACTTAAAAAAAATCTATATAATATAAACAATTCTACTGGCCATCCAGAGTAGTCAACTGGTATGAAAATTGTTTATCATGATAAAAAGTACTGAAAACCAATTAGTTTCTATTGAAATTGAGAACATAGTGTTTCAATTAAATTAAAGAATTTCATGAAATTTCCAACTTTTACAGGAAATACTCAAAAGCTAATCACCTGACATAAAAAGTGTGAAATTCCAATTTGGTTTTTTGGGAAGGACATAATCAACTCATGTCTTAGCTTAAGATGGAATAGCAGCTGGCAGTTATTGTTCAATTATCACACTGGATATGTCTACAGATAGTAAATGTGGATATTAAATTCAGCACAAAAATCGCTTCCCTGTTGTTAAGGGTGAAGATGTATTCGCATTAGGAATGCTTTGGTATGAATATGTTTAGGAGTTAGTCAAATGATATAATTACACAACTCTTAGGACATTATGTACTAAATTCATGAAGTTGTTCTAGCTGAAACATCCAATTTTTTTTCAAGCATTAGTAGACTTTAATTAAATAATCTGAAGAAAAAAAATCTCCCTTTTCCCCCACCTAATCTACTTCCCTCAATATTATTTATGAACAGTTTAGAAGTGGAATAACCTAAATTATTTCATGATATTCTTTTACATTTTGACATATCTGCATGGAAATGAAAATGATCCACACTCTATAAGCAACACAAAAGAATGCACCATATTGTGTTAATAATATGTAATATATCTGTGATATCAATTTTAGTCAACAGTTCTGCTATCTTTACTAAACACTTGGGACCTTTCACACACTCTAATGCTTTAGTGGAGTAAATAACCCCCTTGAAGTCCATCTTAATAAGTTCAACTGATAACAAATACAAAATATTACCAATAAATCTCTGAAATCCAGTTATTGGTATACATTATATCCCATTTGCAGTTATTTTTGTATGCCCAAAGAGAGGAATATGCCCAAAGTAAATTGAAAATATCAAGAGAAATGTAAAGAAAAGTGTAGTTATTATTCCAATATTAAATGACAAAACCAAAGAGTTTGGTAATGAACTGTCAATTTAAAGAAGATGACTACTTTAAGAATCTATACATGTAAATATTTTTCAGGCTTTCTCATTTCTAAAAATACCACTGGGTAGCAGCTTTCAAATGATATCCTAATTTCTTTCTGCATTAACAATGACAAAACAGATAACAAGTATCTATCTTTAAACATTCTTTCTCAATTTGCCCAAATGTCAATTTGATAATCTTCACAGGCCCTCCCACTAATTTTATTTTGCTCAAAAGTACACTTGAGAATCCTACTTATCTAAATCTCTGAGAAAATGATTTTAAATTCCCTCAACTCTTTGTTACTCAATAAAAAAAGGTTTTCTAAATACTAATTAAGTCTCTGCTATAGCAGACAAGTATAAAGAAAATTCAAGTATCCAAAAATCATTTATGTAATGGGACTCACGTAGAAGATATACCAATATATATTTAGGATTTTAAAATCTCTTTGACACCATTTTTAAGTAAGCAATCACAAAAAGAATTCCTCAGAAAATGAACCAATAGGCAACAAAACCTACTTGTATGCAATGCACAGATCTATTATATCTACCGGTATATATCCTCTCAAGGATTTATTCAGTGGTGCTTAAATTAATAATCACTGATCTAATCAAATTATAAAAAGGGATGTTACTCTCAAGTTACTGAATTTTTGAAAACGCTGTCTTCAAAGTTTGATTTATAAGAAAAGTTACTGGAGCATTCTGTACTTTCTTCCAACAAAATATGATAGAAAGATATAATTCTTAATTTCTTATCCATTTTCAAAAGTCCTCCTTCTAAGTGGCCATTTTCTATTTGTTTTACTGTTGGCCAAACAAGTCCACTCCACTGAGTAAATCAAACGCTTCAGCTTGTGACTGCCTAAGAACCCTTTAACCTTCTTCAATTTTTAAACTCTCAAGCCCAATGTCTGTCCTGTAGAGAAAGTCTGTTGTTACAATGTTTTCAATTATATTCATTGAATTTTTAAGTCAACAAATTGTATTTGTCTGTTCATCTGGTCAATACTTTTGATCAATAGCGTTACTTGAAACAGACCATGTTCGGATTATTCATAAACACACATACAGTATACCTTGTTTCCATGAATTGTGTGCTGACAGCAACTAACACAGAACAAGTTTATGTTAGTAACAGAATGTGTAGTAAGAAAACCAAGATTCTATAGAACAGCAACAAAATAAAGGCAAATGAATTTGGCAAGTAATTTATCTCCATAAATAGTCTTCCATGTGTTTCTCCATGGGTAGATCAGGAGAAACAGGAAATTTCCCACTGCCAGTTGTTATTACATATTCATGAGAAATCTTTATTTGATGTAATTGGAGAAATGGCAAGTGAAAAGATGCCTTAATTAGAAATGAAAGTACTAAAGTAGAATTCAGGGAAGAATTGCTACTTTTCAGTAACAATAAACAAGTCAAGTCACTTTTCATTAACTGAATAATAAATATAAAATCAAGAAAATGCATTTTTAATCCCTTTTCTAATGAAATTACAAATCTGTGGGCTGTTGAAGTGGTAAATAACATATTTATATCACACAGATTACTGGATGCAGTTGCAGGAAAGGTATCTGATAGTTATTTATATATTGTATAGATTTCTGGACGAAGTTGCATGAGAGGTATAATTAGATTTTGCTGACAGATATCATATTTATATTATATAGATTTCTGGTTGCAGTTGCACAAAATATATAATTAAGTTAAGATGACAGTTAGGGATGTGTGATTTTATCAGTATACCGGTATATCGTGATTTTTAATTGCGTGATACGTATCATGATATAGAGACTAAAATACGGATATTTCAGGTCATAGTTATAAACCCCAGAAATTATTCATTTATTTGTTCAATCTTTCAAATTACAATTACAGGAAGTTTAAAAAATGTTGAAAACTGTAAAAGAACGGCATCCTAGCATCCAAAATTGCTTGATATTATGTAAATAGAAAAAATGAAAAAAGTGAAGTTATGTTTTTTCCTGCATATTTTTAGAAAAAATAAGAATATTCATTCAAAATCATTGTAAAAATATCATGATATTATCGTGATATTTTGGGAAAAAATCGTGATATACCACGATACAAAATTTTTGGCGATACCCATCCCTATACTGACAGTCATCTTCAGATTAATAATAATATCAAAGAAGGTTGATGGTATATTCATAGTACCTATCAAAATAAACCAATAAACTTCCCTTATTGTATACTTTAAAACTTCATGTTTAACTGTGATGATTTAAATGTGTAATTTACATGTAGGGAGAGGGCGTAATAAGTTTTCATAACTTGTGCCCAATCCCATTGTATTTATAAATTACAATAAAATATGTTCAAACCAACTTCCCTAACCCAAATCAATTTTTGACTGAGTACTAATATCATATCATATAAGCTGTTTTTAAATTTCAAGAAGACAAGAGCCATAAAGAGAACTTGAAAAAGAAATGTTCTTCTCCATGGTTTTTCTAGAAGAGGTAAAATTGAAACAGATAAAAAAGGAAAAGAAGTTTAAACTCCACCAATTTCACCCCTCCAATAAATCTATCAACACCCAGTTTAATATTCTGAAATTCAATCAACCTTGTAATAGACACATTGAGAATCAATGGGACATGATTTTAGTGATACTAACTTCCTGCATACAAATTGATCTATGCTCTCCTCATCTGGTTCTTGCTGTGCTAATTTAATGGAATTTATTACCAGTTAATTTTGCTTCAATGAAAAAAGAAAACTTCAGGGAAAAAAAATAAATATCATTTGGAGTGAATTACACATGCTGTACTGCATGAAAATTAATTTAATGTAGATACCTGAATTTTTATTTCTGAGTATTCCTACAGATTTAGTGATTACCTATTATACATTTACATCAGTTTTTTAGTTTTATTCACATAAAAAAAACTTACATTTAAGCAAGCCCAGGATGAAAAAGGAATTTTAAAATTAAAAATTTTCAAGACATTTCAAATCCAAGATTCAGCCTCACCACTTATTTCAAAAGTCAAAGTGTACTGATAAAGTCCACTGTATAGTTACTTAATTGGTATTGAGTAATTTTTACTATTAAGTACAAATACAATAATTATATGTAGGTAAGGGACTATTCTGAGCCAAAGTAAGAGTGTTATATTGATAACTTTAGAGTACTTTTATCTGATCCCCATACCAGTTGTAAAGATGCCTTCACCACCTCAGTAACATGTGTCAGACATTGCTAAATATGAAGTTGGCATTGGAGGCAGTAAATATTTTCCACTGGGTAGTGATTTAATATCGCTAGATATAAAGGATTTGTTTAAATATCTACATTCAGCTTCAATGAACTTGTATTGAAACACAATAGCTTCTTATTACTTGAATGGACGCAGTTGAAAAAACAACAATTGCTTCTTGCATTTGTCATTGTACATCCAATACAAAACTTGACAATCATAGGGTCAATTTATTGCTTCATATAAAATGTAATTATGTTTGAAAATAATTTTTATTCAATTTATGCTAACAGCTAGTATCGCTTATAAAAATCAGATTGTTGGGACGATAAGGCCCTACAGAGGTATGATCTGGGTTTATCCCATAAAGGTTTGTGTCTTACGACTGTAAATCTACTGTACAAATCTAGGTCCCCTGCTTAAGCCACAATACAATTCTTCATGCTATGGAAGCTTTTTTACATGCCTGATTGAGGTATTAGCCGTTGAATATTATGAAATCATTCTTTAAATCCACTTAATAGCATTTGTTTACAAGGTCCTTATTTTATTTATTTAAAAATTGTGACACTAGGATTATCTTAAAAATTTAAAATAATCTTTGCCTTAGTTTAATATTTGTTGCAAAATTTTTAGGGTTAATTAAGACATACTTTTATTTTTAAGTCATGATAGCCAAAGTCATAAAAGGGATGGGGTGGGGGTGGGGCATTCCCCCTAAGAATATTGTTGGTACTCAAAAGAGTTGACAAGAACATGATTTCAACACTTATTCTCTCTTCTATGCCCATTTAATTATTTTGCTTCCTCATATATATATATATATATATCGATTATGAACAACCTGCATGTTTCAAGTAGATAAACTGTACTGGATTCAAGCCTACCTGTGAACACCACATGTAAATCCAGTGGTTTACTGAAATCTGAGAAATTACCTTGTCTTTGATATATTTATCAATTTCCTCCAAGGGTTTTCCATAGTAATCAACAGTGAACACCTCCGAAAGTTCATCAGGCAAGATATTCCCCTCCTGTAGCGTGGGATCTCTTGTCTTCCTAGCCTCCTCTTCATCGTCTTCAAACTTTAATTCACCATCAACCAGATGTGCGACGGCTTTGCCATTGTTCTTGTCTAACTTCCTTTGAGCATCCCTTTCCTTCTGAACTTGGTCCTCCCATGACCGTTTATCATACAGTCGGAAACGAGGTCCAGTTTCTTCCTCTTCGTCCCCCACTCTAGAACTTTTAGCGGACGGAGGGCGCCATGACGGCGAAATTCGTCCGTCTTTTCCCTGTGTTCCATTCTGATCAAAGGGACTTAGATGATTTTTGTCACCATCTTTTCCCTTCATTTCCATTCAATTAATATGATTATGTGTGTAATTTCCTCCTCAACCTCCGTAAAACAGTGACTTAACAATCACCAAATTCCGATGGATATTATGCTCGTCACAAAATTTCGTCATAACGCCAAATCCTTGCAGAGTTCTAAGTTCATTTGTCTGATCCACGTCAGATCTGAAAATAAAGAAATTCGTACAACAATCCTATCTAAACATGATTTTCCTTTTTAAAAACTTTTTCTAAATCATTTTAAAATACAGTTGCGAACGACATCTATAATGTATAAACTACTTGGATTATAAAACCCTTTTGTTATAAGTTGAAAAAGCATGGACATCGATTCGTTTAAACAACACGGTGCTGCTTACCTGGTGGCTTCAGAGACAGAATGCACTGGTACACAATATATACTGAAATCAATTATTCACTATGTTCAATGGCATTTTTTTCACAATAAAGACTCGTCTTTGGAAAAAATAACATGGCAATGAAAGGAATCGATTAAAGACACAGTATTGTACCCGTAATAGTCACAAAAACACCAAAAAGTTTCTGACTAAAATATCCACAAGAAATTTGAAACTTTTACCAAACTTTAGAAAGAAAAAAGGTCCAGTCCTACATTTAATGTCCACTTAATCCGAGTATTGTTCTGAAAACTGTATTGACTCGCAGCACACACAGCAACGGCACCGAACCTATGACGTATGTACAACAGTGCATTCACCAACGATCCAAAACAGTCTTGTTATGAAATCACGCAAGAATGGTTGCAGTTTCAGAAAATTTCAATAGAGAAACGGAAAGAAAATGACTTGCTTTCTACAGTTATCTTCTGTTTTCCACTGGTTTTGTTGGTTTTGCTTAATCCGTTCTTTTTAAAATCTACACGACTATAATTTCACAATGCCTTCGCCAATAAATAAATAAGGTTTAAACTTGTTCCTCGCCAAATGCCAAATATACCTAGGTCGTATACAGGCATGGTCCATTGAACTGCAACTGTCTAATAGCCAGTTATTATCATTTTTTTGAAATTCTATATCCACATTACACACCGACTGCGATTAAATATCTTGCACTTTCTCGTTCAAGTGCGCCTAACTGTAAGTAAATGAATTTTAATTATTCTGAAAAAATTTGACACCCACTGTGACTTAGGTAATTATATACAAACATAACAATGCCAAAATCAAAAACCAATGTTCAATGCGATCAATATACACCGAGTAACAAAGGGTACAAATGAAGAATAATTAATATAGCTTTTAAGACTTCGGTGCCCGTGTAAGAAGGAGAAAACAGATTATATATACATGTATATAATAAAATAATGTGTAAAAATGTTTCCTACACACTAGAAAAATGACAAAGTCATACAGGGCCCCGTAATACATTTACATTAACGTATAACAATAACCTTGCGTGGTCTTTTCACATTGACCTTTCATCAAATGACCCCAGAATCTATAGGGGTCTCTTTTAATTGTGTAATGATAATAAGTCTGCATGTTGAAATACTCAAATTTTGTACCTTATGAATGTTCACGTAAAAAAAATGAACCATTTTGACCTTGACATTTAAATGAAAGACCTCAAAGTCTGAGGTTAGGTTCTCATATCATTGTTCGCCCTTAAAATAACTACATTTGTACAGGTTTAGAACATGTATTTGATTTCTATAATCAAATCGACCCTTCTGTTTCATATACAACGTTTTAGCTAAGGACATATGTCCTACCAGTTTTTTCTTAGAATACAAAACTGTTAAAATTTCAACTTTGTTAGCTTCAATGACATTAACACGTTAGTGTGTTTTCTATTCAATTATTTTTAATTTTTTCTATTTTAGCAATACGGTCTAAGGGAGGATGGGGGGGGGGGTGTACCACAAAATTAATAGGGTTTAAATGATTACGTAAATAAATTACATAAATAACGATGTTTCGACCCCCCCCCCCCCAGTTATAAACATTAATTTATAAAAGTTACAGTCAAAAGTAAATAGATATATGTCTGTGCTGCTGGTTTTGGCCAAGTCACAATAAGGATTAATGAGGAAAAAAATCTTCGATCTAATTAAAACTTAAGGCGCACGTGGTGCACAAGAGCTTAATTAATCCGATGAACGAAAGTACGTGTACTTTAACAAAGCAGATGTTCAATTGGCATTAATTAGCACTTTTCTCCCCCAGTGCATTTTTTAATGCGAGTTTACAGTGTACTGATCATTACTGCAACCAACAGTTACCTCCTTTAAGACTAAAGTTTTCTTGTCATAATGAGTATGAGATAGCATTTGTACACATTGAAAGTCACAAGTCACCGGCTTTTTACGCTTAAAGAGTGTAAAGTTGAAAATTTAGTAAATACGAACAACTAATCTTCAACAGCTGATCAAGTGAAAATAAAATACATGTATAAATACAGACAAGGCGTGCGCGCGTGCGCGTGTGTGCGCAGTGGAAAGGGGCGGGGTATTTCTAAATTATTACAATAAAAACACTTTTCTTACATGTATGTATAAGATTAAAATAATAATCCTATATATAGAAGTTTTTATAACTACTTCTGCCCGCCCAACTCCTCATATTAATCTGGCCAACTACCTCAAAAAACGTTTTTTATCCAGGAACAATTGTTTGATATTTATATATATCTATATCACATTATTATTTATGAATTCACCTGGCTGGTTTAAAGCAATATGAGCTGCATTTTTGAGAATTTTATTTTGCTGTCAAAATGTGTTATTATGATACATTTGTATATAATTTATTTTTTTTTAATGATCATTATCAGGGACCTGTCATTATATAAGATATCAATACTGTACAGGATGACAATAATGTAGTTTTGCTTCCATCGCAAATATGATCAACAGAAGTTTATAAACGGTCTTTTTTTCTATCATTGATATAGTTAACAACAATTTTGCAACAGAAATTTCCGACATCACAGTTGCAACTCATATTGCTTTAAATATGTAAGATTTCAATCCGTCTTTACTGAAACATTTACATTTGAAACATTTTATTCACTTTATGGCCTCACGTGAGGCTTAAAAGTACAAAAAGAAATAAATCAAGAATGAAAAGGTAACAAATGAACAAAGGATTAACATATATACAATATTAATTTTGAGGTTTTGCAATTGTCAGTCTACACCATTCATTGTGGAATGCCGATCCCGATGTATTTTCATAGTATTTAAATATGACTTTGTGTGGTAACTGAATATCATACAGTTTCAAAATACTGTATCATGAGCTCAACGTGTTTCCAAAAATCCTCCAAAGGAGATTTCAGTCTGTCTTTACTGCAATTGTCAGTCTACACGATCCGTTATAGAATACCGATCCCGATGTATTTTCATAGTATTTAAATATAAGTTTGTGTGGTAACTGAATACCATACAGTTTCAAAGTTACACTATCATGAGATCATAAACATGTATAAATGCTAATTATCAAAATCCTGCCTCTCAAACTTCAAAAGTCATAATTGATAATTTAAATTAAACTTCCCGGTGTATTTTTTGCAAAGAAGGTCAAAGGTCAAGTGGATTTTTCATAATGTCTTATGAAAAACAGTGCAGATGATAAATAGCATAGACAGATATTGGATGTGACAGACGGACAGACAGACGCCAGGTAAAGTGATCACAAAATGCCGCTCTGCTCTGCAGGCGACACAAAAATTACAGAAGAGTTTCCTTGATAGCAGGCTAATTACAAAATGAGGAAAATTTATGAGGTTGACATTTGGCATGTCAAAATAATAATGGACACAGATGAATCGTTCTTACTAACATGTATAGCTCTATTTAAAATATTTAAAATATTTTGAAAACATAGCCCAACAATAAGAAAATTAAGGTCAGACAGAATTTATGCTACCATTGTTCTTACTAATAGATTTTTGTGCATGAATTTTGATAAATAAATCTTGTATAATTTATTTGAAACTGAGCTTAACGCTCTGAGAAGGATGGACATGACAAACATCAAATACATGTATATGCCTCAGTCATGTTTATATATATATATCTATATATATATCTATATATATATATATATATATATATATGGCTTTCTAAGAAGGAATGATATATATTGCTGTTGTGATTTCTTATATCACAAAATTAATATTACTTCATATGAGACAAAAATATAGTTCATGTTTTTCAGAAACGTTTCATATGATATATATGAATTGAATGTGTAAAAAGAAACAAAATCTTCCTTGCAGATTAAGGAGACTGGGTGGTCAAAATTCAAATACGATTATTCTACTCTTAAAACACCCCCCTTTCCAGTTATAGTAATTAATGCAATTTATTCATACAGAGCTCTTCTTTCCAGAATGTTTTTTAAAAAATCTCCGGATCCTCCTACACGATGATAGAGGCAGAATATACTTAGACGTCTACGGTCCTCACTTCGTTGAAATCCCGACTTTTCAAAAAAAAAAAAAAACAAAAAAAACAAAAAAAAAAAAAAACTCTAGAGGTTAGTCACTTTCTGGCAAACTAAATGTTAATGTAGCTCAATTTCATTGCAGTTTCATTGCAGTTTTCATGATAAGGTAAACGACTGTAGTTTTTCAATAATGAATAAATAATGAAAGAAAGGAAACGCAGGAATTCAAAACGTAAATAAGCTAAAATATTATATTTAGCGGGGGAGGAACCAGACTAAGTCACGTGATGCCAAGCGATATATATGTTGTTCTCTTTCAGTTGATAAGCAAAAAACTGTACATCTAAGGAATAACTGTTTGGTTTTGATGTGTTAATTCCTGCACATACAACATTTATACAATTTACTAAAAAAAAAAAAAACAAACAAAAAAACCCGCATATTTTTATGATACGAGTAACAAATCGATCTCCCTCCTCCCACCCCACTCTCAAAAATACCCCCCCCCCCCAAAAAAAAAAAAAAACGAACAAAAACAAGCAAACAGATTTGGTAATGTGAAAAATAAAACAACATTCAAATAGGCGAAAATCAATATTTTATCGCTTTCTTCTGTGTGTGTGTGTGTTAAATCAAGACTTCAATTTTTAACAATAACGTCTTATACGACATATAACAATGCAAGAACGTATTTCCAATAATACAATTCTCGTGTCTGTATTCTCTGCTGTAGGCAAGCCCATAGCAACGTTTATCAAAGGGGGGGGGGGTCAAAAATTTTGACAAGCCAAAAAAAAAAAAATCCCAAAACACCCCCCCTCCAAATCTATAAACTAACCAAATTCAAAAATCCTAATTCTGGAAAGGAGGGGGAGGGGGTTGCAGAAGGTGGTGCTAGGAATTTTTTCTAACTTTTTGTTAAAATTTCTTTTTCAGTGCAAAAATCTACCAGCATTACTATACTGCGACAAAAAGGGGGTGGGGTGGCAAGCAACTTTTAATTAATAAAATTTTCATATTAAAACAACAAAAGACTTCTTCAAAAAAGGGGGAGGCACCCCCTGTTCCCTTTCCCCCTTTATACTATGGACCTGTTAGATTAGGATTCTTTTTTTAACTACTTGAATTGTTATAATTTTATGAAATTAATCCAAGGGGACAGGCTACTAGTCTACTACTAATCCAAGGGGACAGGCTACTAGTCTATTACTAATCCAAGGGGACTGACTACTAGTCTACTACCTCTTTTGCTGGATTTACCCAAGGTTATATTGAAATTACATAATCGCATTTAAAAAAAATATTAAAAAAA